CACATAGGCAAAGCCATTGAACCGCACACACAGAGACACATTTGCCCACCCACATAGATGTGAGCAGGTGGCTGCTGCTCTCATCGAAGATACCCCTGGCCATGGGGCTATACAAATACAAGACGGCAAAAGCATTTATGGCATTTTGTCGTTAGCTGTGCGAACTATTTGCCTTGAAACGACAACCACGGAGACAATGCCGCAACAACAACAGCAACAAGACGACACAAATCATCGAGAGATGCCACAATAGCGCCCAGAACATGCCAAACAGAGACACCAACATGGGAGAGAACAGAGATAGCTACAGCTGAAAAGCTTAAACATATGCAGACAAAAGTAAATCAATCAATCCTGGAATTAACTAATTGCGTAAAGCAATATTTATGAATAATTAATGAGCTCATAATGCCGACCAGCATGTGTGTGTGTGGGGAATGGGCGTGGCAAGGGCAGAGTGTACTTAGTTTGTGGTTCGTTTATCTTTTAAGCATTGGAAAGGCAATTCGTATGCCGCCCGGCCTCAAACCTGCGGCTGGGCTGACTATTAAGTGGGCCTTTGAGTTTCTGGCTGAGTGCAAACTTGAAACTATGAATATTAGTTGCCTACTTTATATAATATTCTATGAATTTTTAATTAACCACGTATGTGTGTGAGCGAGTGTGCGTTTGTTTATTGTTGTTGTAATTTGCAAACATTTGCATAAATCAGACCAAATATTTTGCATACTCATTGATATACTTGATGGCTTTTTTATTTTGCTTTTGAGTAGAGAAAAGACCTGGTTAATTTATAGCTGAAATGCATGTAAATTACCTCGGGGCCAGGACAAAATGCAGGCAACGCAGATAAGTCGCTGCCAGAGAGTATGCAACAACAATTTACACAGGCAAGCGACAACAATAATAACAACAGCTATGACAACATTTACATTTCATAAATTCAGTGCAAATAATTCATAAATTTAAAACGACAAGAAAAAAGAGCAGCAAAAGAAATGCATAAAACGTATAGAGGGAGAGAGAGAGAGAGAGAGAGAGAGAGAGAGGTAGAGCAGGGAAGCAGCGTTCCCAATCCTTTAGCACTTCCAAAAGTACATGAGCATATGAGCTGTATATAAGAAAAAACAAAAAAAAACACAAAATAAAAATCAACTTCAACGATAACAAAAACAACAACAATAAGCGACATGCGTGTAAAATATTTACACATTTTTAACTGAATATTAATTTATGTTGTTTTCCACTGTCCAGTATTTCACTGCCAGGCTCACTCTTATGCACTCTGCCTCTCTCTTCCTCTGTGTCTATCTCGCTCTGCGGACTGCGAGCTGACAAAAATGATTTTATACCCTATACTAGATACCTTTATATGGTATATAGTACATTCTGACCGACATTAAACTTAATTTATAGCCAACAAAATTAGTTTATTTGCAGATTGATTCAAGAGCACGAAAAGTACAGCGAGTTCTGTTAGTCTAATATTAATTCTGATCATATTTATAGATCCTATAATAGTTGTTATTTAAGGTATTACACAATTCAAATTTTTCTAAATGCTCAAAATTATTCTAAGCAACTCTCGCTGACTATGAATTATTATGCAATCTTTTTTGTAGTACTAAACGTGATTTTTATATAAGATTACACAGCAGAACCCATAGCAAATAATATTTTTTTCTACCTGAGAAGCGAATGAAGGTGAGAGAAATAACAAAAGCTTTTTCAAATTAAGTCACAAAATTATCTAGAATCTGATTACACTGATTACTGAAATATAAACAAATTTTAATTTCAGCTTCTGAGTTGGAAAACTTTTAAGAAATTTCAAGTTATATGAGTCAAAGAATATACTAATCTGATTTGTCTTTATTAAATTTATTTATTTTATGTAGCTGTCTATAGTAATAAATATAGAAACATCTAGTTTTTTTCTTTTCTTAAGTTTCATTAAGAGTAGTAGTAAATTCGTCGCTCAAAAATTGCCAACTTTATTGAAGTGGTTTTTGTTGTTGTTGTGGCCGCAGCAGCTGTTGACACATAAATAAATGCATTTTGCAGAATTCGTGCGCTGCTGCCGCCGCGTATTACTCTTTTATTTGCAGGGAACAATCCATGAATTTAAATGCATTTTGCCGACAAACATTTAAATAGAAAAAATACAGAAAGCAAATTTGAAATGCCTAAAAAATCTATTAAATTGAAGTAAAAGCGGAAACATTCTAAAGAGCAAAGGAGGCAAATGGGATAAAGGAGTTCTTTGCTGAAAGACCAGACGTTGCATAGTTCTCGGCTGGCTGCCAAAAATGTAGCAGGCAACGCCTCACTGAACTCAGCGATGGAAAGAGGCGGACATTGGATTGAGAGGCATGGCAAACGCGTCTGGGCCTCATAGTTTACATTGACACGCGCCTGCATGCAAATAAAATCATGACAGCCAGACAGAAACTCGTGAAAGCTGCCAGGCGAGCGCAAACTAAACAAGTAAAAGAGTTTGGCTCAGGAGTGCCCTGCCAGCAGACACCCTGTAATCAAATATGCTTTCAATCGTTCTTGCCCGCTGTTAAACATGCGAACACGGCATCTTAGATTCAAAAATATAATACTTTATATTTCTATTTCAAATTGGGGTTAAGCAAATTTCCAAAAAGTGAAATTTTTGTATACCTGACTCTATATGCCAAATTGGATGATTCTGAGTCGTAAAGCGAGTCGAGTTATGATTCAAAAATAAAATTTTTAATATCACTATCCGATGCATTGTAATGGGAATAGAGAAATTGAGCATATTTGTTGAATAAAACGATGAACTTCTTCTATACAAAGTATATATAAATAAATTTAAAAAAATATATAAAAAAAATTTAAAAATTTCTAACAATTTTAGACGCTTAAACGGACTGATGGATAGGACTAGATCAGCTTATTGATGTATCTACAAGTTAAAGCAAGTCAACAGACAGAAAGCCACATAAACGGACAGGTTATCGGAAGGACATATCATCGACGGTCGGACAGACAGAGGCTACATCCACTCCACAACAATAAATATACATATTCATCTCAAGCATACATAAATACATGATACCCTGCTTAGCCACATTCATGGTTTTCAGCATGTAAAAAAAACACTCACATTCACTCACACACATAGTCAGTCTCTCCTACAGACATTCACATTATTATTATTATTGTTTTGATTTCCCTGGCTGAGTTTGCTTAAATATTTTTTCTTAATTCTTGAACTTGACAGGCTGCCCGCCTCTCTGCAGGAAATTGGGGCCTCGCCATAGCTGCATCTATGGCATAAGGACATTTTAGCCAGGCCGTGAGGCTGGCCACTTGACTGCATTGACTGCTGCTACTTTAGCCGCTGTCATGGCCATGCCCATGCCCAGAGCCCACGAACCAAGTCCACTTCATCTCCTGTTGTTCTCGTAGCTTGTTTGTTTGCCTTGTTTTGCTTTTGTTTTCGGCTCGGTCTGGACGAGTGCCAAAATAAAAATATTTTATTATGCCAAAAAGAAGTTATGTCGTCTACGAGCAGACCCTTTCGCCACTGGGATTACACTAGGCTCTTCGTTGGCTTTGGCTTTGGCTTTGGCTTTTTGCTCTGCTCTGCTCTGCCTTGTCTGCCTCAAAGCTGTGCATTTGAAAGTAGCCACAATTTGACAACATTTTTTCTCTTCATCTTCTTGGCCAACTGTTGTGGCCAACAGCTTTATGTATTTTGATATGAAAATTTATTTTTGGCAACAAATTTGCTTTCAAAATATATATAAATATATATATAAAACATATATATTTATTTATTGAATGCTATTTTAAACGGCAATTGATATTAATAATAAAGGAAAAGAGTTAGAAATTGAGAGTTAGGAAATAACAGAATACTTGAATGTTAACTACGTAAACTGCTTAAAATATGGAATTTAATTTTGTTTGAATTTGAAGTTAGTTTTTCCTATAAAATAAAATTGTATATATATATTTTTTACAAACCATATTTATTTTATTTTCCTATTAGCTTTTTAATATCTAAATATTTTGTAAGTTTTGAGATGGCCACAAAAAGTCCAAAATTAATTTGCAATTCACATTCTGTAAATTGTTTTAGCAATATATATATATACATATATATATATAACAAAATTTAAAAGTTTTCTGTAAATTTTAAATTTGAAGTCACTTTGGGCTATTCGTGAAAATCAGACTGGATTTTCATTATATTGGTTATATATTTTTACATTACACAATCTAAAACCATATTTAATTAAAAAGTTTAGTTCAAATGTCAATAAATGTCAATAAAGCAGACTTTAATGGATAGGAAATCTTATGACATTAATGATTAAATTTGACATATGGATCATCCGTATTCCAAATGCGACAATTCTGGTTATTTGAAGTCGGCTTAATCCATAGGCCTTAAAATGCACAAGTGGACAGTTTGTCCGCGTTGCTCTGCTATAAATCTATCTATTCCCAATAAAATTTTAAACTAAACTCAATAGAAAGTAATAAGCAGCTGTTTAATAGGTTGTCCAAAATAGTGTTACCAACTCAAAGCATCAACCTCTAAAGAAAACACTATTTATAAAATTAATGAATGTAAAAGTAAAAATTTCAAATTTATTATTTGGACTCAAATATGCTTATAAGTATTTCAGGTTATATGTTGCACTATGTGCTTTGATCTAATATCAATAGAGTTACACTATTTTGATTAAAGAGAAGAACTACAATATATTGAAGTCAAATTTCAAAAAGATTTTACATTTTGAAGTAAAATATAAAGCTAAAATTCAGCAAAACAAAATTTCTATTATTAAGACTCACTTCACAAAACACTTTTTGGCAAGATGCAAGTGCGACGCTACGTGAAAGCTATTTAGTTAAGCCATAAATATATATTTATATATGTATACTATTTACTATATATTCTCTACTATATAGAGGTATACAATATAGAATCAAGCATATCATCTTTAGCCATTTTATGCCGCCTTCAATTTTTCTGCAATGTTCATTTGCTTGACGAATGTCACGACAGAGAATGCCAATTTGGCCACCTATAAAAAGAAGTTTATATTAAGATTTGGCCAACGGAGGTCACAAATTGTGTGTCTCACTTTAATATTGGTGTCCAGGCTGATGGGGAAAATGGAGCCAGCTGTAAAACGTATCGATTGCTGTACATTTTGCAGAAAGTAGATCAAGGCTGACTTGTATGGCCGCGTCGCATCAGACCACTTTGATTGAAACAATGCTAAGGCCAGTTTCTCGCAGTCGCTTTCGATCAGATTGCAGGTGAAACAAAAGGGAAATGTCTGGAAAAAGAGCGCTATGATGTAGGCAATCGATGCAATGCCCGTCCACAGATCCACGAAGAACATCAAATTGATCATGGTCAGACCGAAGAGCAGACCAACGAAAAGGAACTGCACAAATGTCGTTTGCGATATGCAGGGTCGCATAAGATCGCAAATTCTAAACAGATAATTGATTAAATAACTTCTGTACAAAGCCTAAGCCGTGCTTAAAGTTACTTCAGTATTAGCTTGTGATCCTCGATGCAGCCCCTCAGCGCAAAATAGTTCTGCTCCTCAGACATCGCGGGATCAGTGCGCAGATTTTCGATCCGTGTGCAAAGTAGTTGCAGGTGCGAGCGCAGCGCAAAGCCAAAGATCAGCGGATAAACGTCGGTCAATTGATTAAAGTAAACGCCGGACGACATAAAAAGATACTCAATAAAGGAGGCGATCAGCAGACTCCAGGGCCCATCCCGCCAATCGATAAAGTAGTTATACAAACGCCATGGGGTTAATCCTCTGCACACAGATGTTAAGTACGTTAGGGTCACAAAGATCGTGTACGTGAACTGATATAAGAGATAAATCTTATTGCCGCGTATGACTGCGCGATGCACGATAATGCGCTCCTCGTCCGTTACGCAACGCTTATCAATCTCATCCAAGAGCTTCTTCAGCTCCATGAGACGCCAGACGTTCAAAAAGGATATGATGCCACGGGTGAAGGCACCAGGCGCATTGATGCCCGCCTGCAAGGAGGTGAACAGCTCTCCGGGCGTGAAGGTGCTAAACTCCTTCACATAGGTGATGCACAGGCCGATGGGCAAATAGCCAGCCAATCCTATCACAAATATCGTCCACATCTTGTAGACACACTGATATTTCTTATCGATCGCCTGCGGCACCCAGCCCAAAGCCGTCATTCCGTACTCCAAGTACTTAAAGCCATCTCGACTGGGCATCAGGTCCGTCGGTGTCGGCTCCCGCAAATACCTGAAAAACATTTTCACTTTTCACAAATATTTTCCGAATTCGCAGACAGAGGCGACCAGAGAGCAGCTCCAACTATGCCCGTCGATTGGAGGGAAAACCCTTTATATATGCCTTTGCCTGCAGCTGAAATTAATTGCATACTATATAATAATAAAACTATAAAGTTTTTAAATATAAATAATTGTAGGTGTTGAGAAAAGAAGAAAACGTGTAAGAAGGAGCAGCTGTTTGGCATGTGCCGAACTGGGAATACCCTTAATATGCAATTCAGACGAGTCTATAGTCTAGATAACTAGATAATACTTTAGAATATTATTAAAAAATTTTAGAAGATTTGTACGGAAATCAAATTTTTTGCAACTATCAAATTTCTGGAATATGAGAAAGAGGGAATGCCTTTAATTATATAGAACTGTAAAATGTTATTCATTTTACAGCGATTTTCTGCTTCTTTTTGCAGGCAAAAAATATTGAAAAAACTGTCGACATTTTACTAACCGGGAATTCCCCTAATAAACTGAAATGTAAAGATTCCTATACATATTATAGAGTATTATAAAGTGTGTTTGTGGAAATCAAAAATGTAGCTCAGAGTCTCTGATTAAAATTGATAATGATAGATAATAAACTAAAGTTTATAGAGTCTAAATAATAAATATGTTTAAGGAAACAAAACTTGTAGTAAAGAGCAGTAATCTGAAAGATACTGAAGAGAGAATACCCTTAATAATATTGAGTACAAAACGTATAAAGTCTGATAGTGTTCTAGATAATTTATTCTTCTCTATTTTGCATGCTATCTGCAACAGACTGTAGAGGGAATAGCCTTGATCAAATATAAGGTATAAAGTCATATTTAAAATATAGAGTATTCTAAAATATGTTTATGGAAAACACATGTCCAGCACTGAGACCTTGTCTGATAGCAATAGAAAATTATGGATAGAGCATGATGATGGATAAAAGTTTATAGAGTGAAAATAATACTATCGATTATTCTAAAAAATGTTTAAGGAAACAACTTTATATTTAAGAACAAGTAACCCAAATGGGCTGAATAGAGAATACTCTTAGCAAAAAATTGATTTTAGAGAGAGTAAATAATACTTGCGACTATTGTAAAAAGTATCTTTATGGTCAGCTCCTTGGCATATGAAAATGAGGGAATACCATTAAATAGGTTGCCATTTGAAAACTTTTCTTTAAATATATAAAAACTTACGAATACTTAGAAATATTTTTATATGCTTTTAATATTCTCAATCTTAAATAGCAAATAAAATAAAACAAAAGTGATCTACTCCATTCTTCTATTCCCTCTGATTGCATTAGATAATTTCGAGCAATTTCTAGTGCCTTGCAGACAACAATATAACAATACCCTTTCCAATAGAGCAAAAGGTCTTAATTGTGCTTCAATTATTTATATGTCTTCTTGCTGTTATATGGCAATTGTTTACATATTTAAATCTGTGTCTTTTTATTGGGAAAATAGTCATCGGTTTGTATAGGCGCAGCCAACATTTTAGTTAACGAATTCCTCCCCTACGGGACTCGAATGTTTCTTAAAGCAATGTCTTTGTACAGAATATTTGATTTTCAAGTTGAATTCATTTAAAGCAAGCTACGAAAGGGTCCTGCAACTGCATTAATAACTTGTTAAGCAAATATGCAAAAATATTTAAGACTTTACGAATCTGAAATTCAACACCTTTTCGCACTATTTGAAAGCATAGCACGTGAGAGCGTCGCTGTTGGGTGTGTGTGGCTGCATAATACTCGTCCATGAATCAAAGGTAGTTTAAGTTGAAGTAAATGTTTTATATGCCCCAATGGACGCACCAAATAACTTAAAGTTCTAACTAACTCAAGGAACTTAGTAGCTATAAAAGTGAGGAAAATATGGCTTTTCTTATTTTTATAAATATTAAGGCAGGCTCTATATTAACTTGGCTGTAAAACTGAGCAAGAAAATGCTCATCGGATTTGCCAATCTCCCAAAGGGCATCATGTGCCCAGCTCTAAACATTTTTAATCTTAAGAAAATACAGTTATTGCAGATTCGTTATCATATATATTTTATTATATTATATATTGTTCCGGGCCCTATCCGCCAGTTTAGCTCTCAATCATCAATGCTTTCATTCATACAGCCAGCAAGATTCACAGTCAAAGCTAATATACCCTTCACAATTCGTGAACGAGTAGAAATATGCAACTGAGAGAAGTGAATGTCTCGGGTGCTGCAGAGCATATCCTTTGGATATACACACGCCCCTTATGTGTGCTGCCCTATGATTATTCCGTGCAGCTTCTGCAGCTCTTTCATTCTCATTTCCGTTGCACAAAGATTTGCATTGCGATTATTTCTGACCAACGCAGAAGTTGTTGTTTTTTTATATACACAAAATAAAATGTCGAGTGATGTTAATGACAGAACAACTGCCAGAAAGGCAGGGCAGAGCGCAGTGAAGACAGCGGCTGAAGCGGATGAGTAAAAAACGGCTTCACCTGCAGCCAGCTGCCATGGGCAATGGGTGCAGCCTGTGGCTGGCAAGGATCGCCGCAAATGAATGGCATTTCAGTTGTATGCAAGGATATATGCAAGGACCACAACAAAGGCTCGACTGGACTCGGTCTCCGGCTTGGGCCGGCAAGCGGCTCATTATGCACAAACACGTCACCGAATGTTAACTCCTGCCGGTAGATGGCGCCGGCACATGAACTGCCCAACGATAAGTCAAACTCTGCATCGCCCAAAAATTCTGGCAGGCTGAAGAAACGGCAAACGAAGAACTTTGAGGTAAGGCCTGCTACTGCGGCAGCAGCTGACGATGATGCGTGACATAAACCACAACGCCAGGACCAAAGCCCACAGCACAGATCCACATGTCCGTCCCGCCGGCTGACTCACAAATTTGCACAGCGTCGCATATTTCAGTTGTCATTTTTGCTGTTTTGCCAGTTTTGCGTATGCCAGAAAAGAAGGCGCCGTGTGCGAGTGTGTGTGTCCCGGATACTTCAGCTGCTGCTGCGCCCTTTGCCATCTCCCATTCCTGTTTATCGTTAAGGTACTCTCGCCTCCCTCTCCCTCCCTCTACATCTCTCTCTGTCTCAGTCTCTGTGCTGGGTAGCGGCATTTCCGCTGGCAACGCAGCTGCGGCGGCAACTGCCACAAACAATTTTGACATTGCGCTGCTCAGTTGCGGGACGTTCCATTGCCATAGCCAAGCCAAGCTGAGCCTGCAGTGCTCCGGACAGGATGTGCAAGGATATTGTGAAATCAACGTAATGGCGGAGCATTAACATGCATGCTGCGAAAAGGCGACAGGTAGCAATGTCCGGGCAAGTTGGCCACAAAACAAGAATCACCAAATATGACAAGATAACGCACTTTTCATACACTATAAATCAAGATTTCCAGCTAGAAGCAAGGTATATGCTTCTTGTATAATAAATCAGTTAACATACTCGTAGACTGATTGACTCAATAAGTAAATTAGGCAGGTAACTTAGACTAGTTGGTAAAATAGTCATGCAGCAATTATTTGCAATAATTGAAAAATAAATAAAAATATATAAATAAATTATAATAATTATAATAAATAAATAATAATAAAATAAAAAAATAATAATAAATAAATAAACACTTAAATAAATATATGCATATTTTTATCAATATTTTATTATATAAAACTTCATTATATAAATTTAATAAAATATATATAAGTTAATGCAATTATAGTATTTTATTAGAGGAATTAACGATAAAAATAGTTTAAAAAATTAATAAAATGTAAAAAATATATATATTTATAATATAAATATAAATGTTATAAATAATATATAAGTAAACATATATAATTTAAAGGATTATATTAATTAGACTTTATTGTTTCAGATTGCAATTTAAATAAAAAAAATTAAAGCAGAAAAACAATTTATTATAATTTAATTTTGTTGTTTCTTTTTTGTTGATTCAATTAAACGATTTCTTCTTTAATTCCCTGGCAGTCAAATGCTATCATTATTTGAACACTTATTCGCAACAAATCTCAGACGAAAATCCCAATACCTTCACTCGTCCTGGGTATTATACAAAAAACAGATAGAGTATAGGCCACTGTTCGCATTATCTTTGGCATGCTGCTCTTTTTCATTATGAAATTATAAATATTTTATTTTATACTGAAGCGAGGACAGCACTACCTGTAGAGAGCAAGACAGACAGAGAGCGAGGGAGAGGGAGTGTGAGAGAGAGAAAGAGAGGTTCAAGGGGCCAGCAGTCTGTGTATTAAATTCCATTGCCAATTGCAGGCGACTTTGTTTTGCTGCCAGCTACGTTTCAATTTTAAATGAAACATAAAATTTCACTTGCACGCAGTGGTAAAACGAAGACCGAAAACAAAAAAAAAATATGTATTTTGTGTGTGTGTGAGTGGGTGGGTGTTTGTGTGTGTGTTTTATTAGTATTAGTAGCAGCTACATTAAACTGGGACAGAGCTTATTCTATTGAGCTGAACTCTACGCAGTTCCACCACTACGGCCAGAAAGAATCTGTAAAAATTAAAAATTAGTATCACCATACTTATGGCTAATCCAAGGTTCCATTTCCGGGAACAGCGTGTATGTCCGCCTGCCAAGGCAGCCATACTTTTTGTGGCTCGTCCTTCACACTGGCGTCCATCCTTGCACCTACTAGCAAGGTGTGGAGACCTTGGCTTCCAAACTATTTGTTTGGCTGAAAACTTAAGTTCGGCCTGGTCCTTGGGGTATGAGCATGGACCGCCACTCTTAGAGCACCGCAGTTTGACCACCTATCGTTTTGCTGGGTAAGCCGTACCCTCAGCTTACACCTATATTAATTTTACAATTCCACAGTGAAAAACTGAGGCTTAATTGAATTTTCCAATGGAATACCATGCAGACGCGTTCGTACTCCACGAAACACCAGCGTGTGTCTCTCTGTGTGTGAATGTTTTTCAATTTCAATTGAAATTTACAAACCACTCAAATGACCTTAAGCTACTTTAACATAAGCTGATGGGCGTACTGTGTGGAGGTGGGCGTGGCAGCGACATGCCGCACAATAAAAGCAAAAGTAATGCCAAAAGTAAAAAGAAAAAGAAAAATCGTGAAAATTTCATAAACCAAAACTCAAACAGCGCCGAAAGTTAAGTAAAAATGTAGGTAACCAATGGCTAGGGGCTCTTCTGGGCACGGCCAAAAAAAGTGAGCCGCCCAGCAAAAGTTATGGCCATTTTACACACACACACACTGTGTTGAATCGCCTTTTGCCAGGTTGTTTCGGTTGTGGGGCTTATTTGATTTTTGCTTGAGTTATTACACAACTGGCAACTGCATAAACACGGCAACCGCAACGCCTCCAGCATATAAATTCAATTTAAAAATATATATATAAAAACATACATACATATATATATATATACATATCGTATATCTCTGTCCAAATAGCGAGGCTCCATTGAAGCGGCTCTGCTGTTGATTTTTCCATACAGTTATTACCAGTTTGGCAGTTCAAAGGAATTTCCTTTGATTATGTCCGCCGAATTTTATAATAATATTTATTAAAATATATACTAAGTTAGGGCTACATATGTATATACTAATGCATAACAATAATATTAATAATAAAATTATTATTTACAATCTTTATTATTTTTTACATTGCATTTCAAATAAAAATTTAATAAATTAATAAAAACATTTTAGTTAATATTTGAATTTTTATATAATTTTACTTTAATTTTATTAACTAAATTCAAAATATTAAATTAATTTTAATTCAATTAAATTAATATAAAATGTAAATGTAACCATAAAAATAAATATATAGACAATAAAACATATTCAAACTAAAAAAATGTATGTTATATATAAAATATATATGCAAAACATAATATATAATTATATTTTTATTAGTTTTATCACTTTTTTAATTAATTACATTTTAATTAAATTTATTATTTTAATTTCTCCTTTTCTAACTTATAAGCTTTATTTTATAGGCCAAAAGTAGTTTCAGATTATGTTAATAGTTGGAGTTGAAATACATAATATAATCAATATAAAAATATAATAATAGTTATAATTAATAATATGATCTACATAAAATGCTTTTTATTGTAATTTTAAATAAGCAAACTCGATACGTTGCAGAAATTTTAGTTTCAGATTCGAACTCAGGAAGCCGATATGGTATATATATGCTGATGGATGAAGTCTACATATATATAAAATGATATAGTCTAAGTATACACAGAATAACACAAAATTTTATAAAATTATATAATTTGTATTATTTTTTTAAAATTTTTTATTTAGTTGACATTTTATCATTAATACTTATGTGTTTTCGAAATTATTTAAACTAATAAAAATTAGTTAAAAATATTTCAATTAAGTATAAATTCATTTAATAAAGTTACTGAATATATAGTTATATATATATATATATATATATCATTTAAAAATATATAATAACGAAATATTCTCAACGCAAATGTTGTCAAAAATTTGTCACATAATTTAGCTGAATGAAAAAGAAAAAATTCTGGTTTATTTTTTCCATTTTGTAGTTTTATGGCAAATATGCTAAAGTAAAATCTCAATGATACTTTGGTTTCTTTACGGCAACAGCAGTCGACGAGTTCGGTAACATCCTGGCGCAGGTTGCCACTGAAGAGAAGCTTTCGTGGACCATTTTAAATGGCGACAGCGCCAAAGAGAAAGGGTGACCCACGTGAGTAGTGTGGGCCATAATAAACTGAATCGTCCTAGACTATGTCAGTCATCTTTGCAGTTGCCACAAATTCATCGCAAGATCTAGTCACCGATCAAGCCTCGGGTAGACGAGCTGAGCAAAAAGTCTATACATTTAACAACGAGAAATCGGCTCATGCAAAGCCCGCCTCATCACCCACGAAAGATGAGAAGGTCAAGCCGCAGAAAACGATATTGGAGGAGCACGGCATCATCTTGGGCAAGGTAATTGGCACGGGGAACTACGCCAAAGTGAAGATCGGTTTCTCCGAGGAGTATGGCAAACGGGTGGCTGTTAAAATCATATCCAAGGTGAAGGCACCCACTGAATACACTCAAAAGTTTCTGCCACGCGAAATTGAAGCTGTGAAGGGCCTGCACCATGAGAATCTGATAACATTCTATCAGAGCATCGAGACGAGTCATAGGTAAGCCTCTTGACTTCTACCTTTCAATTCGTATCAACTCATCGACTCTATCCATCCCCCACCCCAGAGTCTATTTGATAATGCAGCTAGCAGAGAATGGCACTTTGCTCGATTATGTGCGCGAGAAGAAGTTCTTGGACGAGGCACAATCGCGCACGCTATTCAAGCAACTGATCAGTGCCGTTGAGTACATACACAGCAAGGGAGTCGTGCATCGGGATATCAAGTGCGAGAACCTACTGCTGGATGAGAACTGGAATTTGAAGCTGATCGATTTTGGTTTTGCACGCAAAGATACGCGCACTACCGAAAATCAAGTAGTGCTGTCAAAGACCTTTTGCGGCAGCTATGCATATGCCAGTCCAGAGATTCTAAAGGGTATGCGCATATACATTTAGATATTGTTCAGGACTAATTAGTATCTTCCCACAGGCGTTGCCTACGATCCATTCATGTCTGATATTTGGGCCTGTGGCGTCGTCTGCTATGCCATGGTCTTTGGCCGCCTGCCCTACGATGGCTCCAATGTGCATATTCTGCTTAAGCGCATCAACCAGTCGCTAGTATTCCCCAAGAATCCGATAGCCAGCACCGAATGCAAGCACATGATCATGCACATATTAGCGCCCGTCAAAATAAGATACACTGTGCCCCAAATCAAGGAAGATGCTTGGCTGAGCAACAAATAACAGACAACATATTCAATCGATTTGCCATAGTCCAGTTCTCACTGTTGTCGTAGCAAAAATTAAACAAACAAATATTTAATATAAATTTTTAGTCAATAAAACTACACAATTAAACCAACGTCTGATATTTTTACAAATTTTATCTGAACAATCTTCGACATAATATAGATTGTAATAAAACAAAAGCTTTTTAACTTTGCATTGATTCTAATTTTATGAACAGATATCAATTTTAATTTCAAATTCGGTTTATTTTATGAACATCAAGTTTCTAGTTCACAATTTTGTATTTCGCCACCTTCTTCAGGTATCACACAATTTATAAATAAATGAGAAGTCACTAATAATTATTTAAAATATTTGTCTTTTTTGGTCAGTCTCACTACACAGCATCGCTTAAAGATTTGTCTGAAACATTGTTACTATTTTATTGTAGTTATTGTTATTGTTATTGTATTTATATTTCATTTGTGTTGCATTTTATCTTTATTTAAATTTAAATAAAAACCTTATTTTTAAATAATGAAATTCCCCACAGCACGCCCTCTGGCGCATGCCGCGTGCACAAGTTGGCAGCTCTAATGTATGTCGTGCGACCGCCACAATGCAGCGATAACACAAGCTATCGGCTCTAATCGAGTGTGCCGCGCTTTGTAAAACTTATTTAAAACAAATATAAGCATTTAGCATAATTAAATTATTTAAATAATTTATTTTTGCATAATTTTCAAACTTTTTTTCTTATATATTAACCATATACTTGGATCATTTTATGGCTGCCATGACTACAATCGGTTGCTCTGGCAACGACAACTGCCAAAACGAAAAATTAACAAAATAAAAAGTTACGCGATTTGTTTCGTGCTATGAAAATTGTATTTAAAAACTACAATCAATATATGTATTGTAAGCAAAGGTGCTAAATTGATGGCTGAGGTGCACGTAATTGGACAACTACTGAAAGCTGTTGACTTCGACGAGCCACATTTGTACTGCAAGTGGAGTTTGCAGAGCGGTAAAAAAGGAGATGAGAATATATATAAATTTACTCAATTTCTTTTAACTAACTTAATTAGGCAACGCCTGGCGCTTGGTGCAGGGCGAGGTGCAGGGTCAGACGCACGTCTCCAGCCATCGCCTGCAGAACAGCTCCGATTTCGCTCAGCCCATCGACATTCATTTGAGCACCGCCGCCCTGCAGGGTTGGCCTCGCCTCCTCGTGGAAGTTTACGCCGTCAACGTGCTGCAACAGTGCTGGCCCGTTGGCTACGGCTTTGCGCACCTGCCCGCTAGGCCAGGCGCCCATCGCTTGGAGATAAACACCTGGAGGATTGCGCCAAGCACCTGGTGGCAGAGCATCAAGGAAAAATTTGGAGGCGGCGGCGCTGCCTTGCATAAAACCGATTTACTTTACTCGGGTGTAGAGCGGTAAGTGCGAAATGACACGAGCTTAAAGTGTCACAAAAAATACGCTTTCAATGAGTCTTAAAGGCATTAGCGGAGCTTTTAGGTAATTCAACTTTATTAAACAACTTTGAGGGACTTTGAAATTACGTGAAAGCTTAAAGCTTAAAGCTTTATTAGCATGAGTACAACTAATTTTCTTGCCAGAGATTCCAATTTTACTTACGTGAAGTTAGATTTTGACAAGAAACTTAATCTAAAACCTTTAAATGAGCTTAAACTAGTGAAAACAAAATGTTAAGTTAATAACAGCCTTGAAAGCAACCACTGTTAATCGATTCTCTTGCTTTCTGAAGCATCTTTATATAGAGTCCATAGTTCGATAAATTACCGAACTTAACATGAAAGCGGAAGAACTTAAACCGATGAAGATGGGACAATAAATACAAATTGTTTTACAATATCTCAGGAAATGAGATAATCGAAATATATACTCGGTTTTGTTCTTCTCTTAAATTAAGATAACTCAATAAACCTCTCAACTAAGATGAATCAATAAATTGTAGTCGCTAGTGAAGTCGCTAGTGAGGTCGCTAGTGAAGTTAAAGATTTCAGCGTTCCACAGTTTTCAAAATATTCCAAAACTCTTTATCTGCTTTACAGATAGAAGTTCAATTTCTGTGCTCTTTGGGGGTGTATTTCTGTCGTGTGCGTTCTGGGTGTGTTTCAGTCAGAAATAATATATTAATATTAATATAAATATATTCTATTCGTTTTTTTCATATCACTTCTGGGCTACAAATGTAGATCATTCTCAACTTAACAGCTAGAGTCTGGCAATATATTCTAATTAATAAGATATGAAATTTACACTTAAGAAGCTTTAAGTTGTAGAACATCATACAGATCATATCTCTTCTTGGTCACCAAATTTGATCATATTATAATCATATCATACGCACAGAATTTAGATAAGACTTTTCCTATCTATCAAGTTTCTTATCTATATATAATTTTCCCACTTTCTCTACTCTTCTCACAGCTACAAACTGCAAACACGCAGCTCTGGAAAAATAATTGTGGAACTCAATTTAATATTTCGCAAGTTTGAGGAATACGGGGTGGAATTTAAGTAAAAATATGTTAGACTTAAAGATGTTGCTAAAGATCGCCGTATTAGGCTTCTGCCTACTCTCAGCTCCAATGCAATGCATCAAAATTGGCGTCTCGAAGAGCGACAACAACAGCGATGCAACAACACCACTGACGACAACAACAACAACAACTACAACAGAGTTTCTAGCAACAACAATTGCAACTATAAACGATGTGGAAATCAATAGCACTGGCAGCTCCTTGCCAGACGCGGCGAGCACTCCCAGTCAGACCTTTCCGCCAAGACGCAAAACATCTAAGCCACGGCCAACTCCAAAGCCCACCAAGCGCTTAACGACGCCAGCAACAACAGCTGCTGCTGCTGCTGCTGTTCCAACAGCAAACACCTTGGATGCCAGTACATCGCCGGCCACTGCGTCTCATCGTAAGGACACTCGCCTTTATTACTGCGCCTGTGACTTGCAGGACGAGCTGTGTGAAGTCAACTGCTGCTGCGATCGCGACTGCTCGCAGGAGTCGCTGCAGGTCTTCAGCTGTCTGCCCGAGCAGCACACGCGCCTGGAGGACTTTCAGTACAATCATGGACTGCCCACGTGCCAGATCAGCGACGGCTGGCTCTGCGTCTTTCGCAGCCACACGAAGCCAGCCAAAATGAAGGTGAATAGAGGCGAATTGACTTTTCGCTTTTATTATAAGGTTGAGACTAGATGAGGCTTGAGGCTTAGATGATAAACGTTAGTATTTTTATGTGGTAAGATGTGAGCGGCTTGGTAAGTTAAGATATAGTGTGCATTGGGTATACTGGAGATGGCTTAAAACGCTGTAATAATAGGTTATCAACTCATCTAGTTTCCTATAGCAGAGACGACAATCTGTAAAGCAGTTCATATAATGGCGAAGTTAAAGCAAATTCTTCTTAAGTCTTTAAAGCTGATAAACTCTTACCTAGCACTGGCAATTAGACTAAGCCTCGCTCTGGATCGCTGAGTTATGTACTAAGAACCAAGAACTCTCTCAGTAGAATGAAACACAATGTCAAACTGCTTCAACTCGTGTTAAATCTTATAGAAATATGATACATAGTTTTTAAATTTTCAATTAATCAAAGTCCTGTTAAGTATACAAATATTTAATTGACTTATCAATTAGTCCAAATATTTTTAAAATTAACGAAAAGCTTGCGATATAAATATAGACATATATATATATATATATATATATAGACACTATAGTAAGAAGAGTTAATTAACAAAAATGAAAATTAAATTATAATGATATAAGTTATGCGTTCAATCAACATAGATATAGATAGGTATATAGATTTTCTATCAAAGATGGTTGAAAAGTGAAAATTTTTATTTGAGAAATAAAAAGTTTCGGAAGACTCTTAGCAGAAAAGATTAATTTTCGAACTTGAACGCAATAAAAATAGAAATTCAGAGTGTAATGCTTTTGGGAAATCGTCTGTAAAAGGCAGAAGAAGCCGTAACAAAGTCCATTAGCTGTGATCTACTGTTTCACTAGAATTTCAGAAAATGCTTGAAAAAAATGAACAATTTAATTTAAATATGTTTAAGCAATCACAAATACCTAACATGATAAGAGATGTTAACATCTTTCGATCTACTGTGCGAGCACCTCTCCAAGACAATTAATATTACACAATACACAGTTAAAATAATTGTAATTTTAATCTTAGTAAGAAAGTATATTTAACAGGTCTTTGATTATACATTCCATTATAGGTGATCTCAAAATACTAATAAAATGCTTCTATTTTGACAGACGGCAAGCAACATCTTCGATGCAAAGGACTACAATAGATGGCCAGAACAGTTGGATGCATTTGAGACGCCGTTGCCAGCCACACAGACGACATCGCACTACAAATTCGGACAAGCGCTGCAGCTGTGGCAGCCCGAGCGCAAAGAGTTGGCCAGCTGGGAGCTGCCCCTGGCCTACGAGAGCGCCAGCTGCCAGTTGCAGCAAACCTTGCTCTATCTGCAGCCAGTGCAGAGCAGCTGCCTCATTGGCGATGCTTCGCAATTGCAAATGCATCTCTGGAGCCTGCTCAATGTGACCAGCAGCTATCAGTTGCTGTCGCGGCCCAGAGAGCCGGAGGAACAGCAGGTGCATGGCCTCAGCATACAAATTTGCCAGCAGCTGCTGCTCCAGCCCAACATACAATGTTCCGAGGCCAATGACACGCAAGTGGATCTCATGGTGGACAGCATTGAGCTGCAATTGCTGCACAACTATACACATATTTTGGCCGCAAAGCTGCTGCTAAGGGAGGCCATTGTGGGTGATGACACTGCGGAGCTGTGGCTGAGCTATGCGCTCGTCTACAAGTCTGTTCATGAACCCAAGACGAAGCCCAGCTCTGGCTCGCTTGGCTATGAGCTGGGTGCGCCCATTCTGCTAGCCATGCTGCAAGGGGACAACAGCAGCAAGGCGCAGCAGCCGCAGCAGCTGCTGAACTACTTTCGGACTGGCAATGCCAGCCAAATCAATCAGCACTGGTTGATGCCATGCACTGCCAGCGTGGAGCAGCGCCATGCCGTCAGCTTTGGCATTGATCTGACCAAGCAGTGTCAGTTGAGGCAGCTCACACCTGTGCCGCAGCATGACAATCACACGGACTACTGCCAGCAGCTGCAGCGGGACATTTGGCGCCAACTGTTGCCCTACGATTGCACGCAGCTGGATCAAGTGGCGCAGACGTTCGTCTCCCAGCTGGGCAGACCGCAGCTGGACAAGTGGCTGCCACTGCAGCTCAGCTATGTCGACGGTCAGCTTCAGCAGCCACCCATTCAGGCCATCTACGACGCGCAGCAGCAAAGCCTGAGCTGCCGCAATATGTTGCTCAGCGTCAGCTATGAGTTCTATGTATCAGAATTGACGCTGCTCGAGGGACAGGTGCCGCATCAGAGCGTGTTGCAGCATGCGCGGCTAGTGCTGGGACAGCGCCATGATCTCGAGTTCGATGCGGCCGAACAGCAAGTGCAGCTGCCCCTAGCCGTGTCCGTGATGTTCTTCAAGGCGCAGAATAAGCTGCAAAACAACTCGAATAATTTAACCATCGACTGTTGCTTGCTTTTGATATCTTTTGTAATTCTAATGATTGCAGCTCACAGTTCCCCGCTCAGCTAGTCAGACCAAAGCAGAACCTAATGTTTATAGTAAAGCTATTCCAAAAAGCTGTTCCAAAAACTAAGATTAAATATGAAAAATTGTACACGATTTACTCTTAAAGCAATATATCTTAAACAAGACTCAAATATACAACAAAATTTAAATACCTTAACTACATAAATATACGACAAACTTGCAGAGTATAAATTTAGTCATATTTAACTATCATTATCTACACTAGTCAGTAAATGAGATTGATTATTAAATAATTGAATTCATTGACTGTAAGAGCTAAGAAGCTGTGTACCAATATAAAAAGCTATAGCCAGCTGATCTCTAGAGTCTCTAGCGTGAAAGAAAGCTCAGTGAATAACTCTTTCACAACATAGCTATATGCAACAACCGATCAATATAATGTAGCTAAAAGATCAGAAAATATAAAAAATGAGATTGGCTACAAAAAGAACAATTTTATATGATATAAGCACTCAAAGCATAAACAACTAAAAGTAATACTAAATCCACAAAAAACCTGGCTAATACTAGAACGAATCAAATGAGTTCATAAAACTGAATAACCTACTCTGTTAACCCGTGATTCCTTAAAGCATGAGAAGAGCAGTTAGAAATATTTGTAAGATTTTGATATCCCAGCTACTGGAAGCACACTTAACTCGGATGGAATGCGTTTTATTACAGTAAACTAAAGTCAATAAATACATCGCAGATCTGCATACATGGAGCACTCGTAGCCATTTCAGATGATGTCCCTGCGGCACTTGCGCATCTGTTTGCGCAACAGCAGCGCATTCAGCTCGTCCTGTTTGCGCTTCTCCTCCGCCTCGAAGGCAAGTCTGATTTCTTCAGCATCATTGGTGGCCCTCTCGGAGATCTCGTGCACCTCGCGCAAGAAGTCGAGCACACCCTTGCGTATCAGATACTGATAGTTCATGGAAGCAGTGTATTTGATTTCGGTGCCAATCACGCGACTGAGCTCCATCCAATGCAAATAAATCCAATTCTCGTTACGCAGATCCTTGACGCTTTGGTAAACGGGCACGAAATCATCAATTTTCTTAATAAACACTTTCGCCACCTCCATGATCTCGGCCTTCTCAGAGAAGTTGTCCAGCGATTGGACGAGTTCACCGCGCAGATTCATTAAATTGTTCCACACCTCCTCGAGCTCAATCAGTGCAATGGGATTGCCCAGGGTGGCATCCTCCAATTTCTGAAAGTTTGCACAGGCATACCATAGCGTTCTATAGGGCTGAAAGCTCTCCATGATGCTGGTCAGAAACGATGTGGAGAGTGGCTCCAGCTCGAAGAGCTCTTGACGATATTGCAGAGTTTGGCCCAGCTTCTCCAGTTCTCTGATCACACCCGATGTAAGTTTGATGTCCACCGATGTCTCCTGCGCTCGATTGGGATTGAAGGCGAGTGAGTACGTTTGGACTTCGTCATTCAGGGATTCGAGACGCTCCTCGAAGACCTGGCATTCACTGTAATGCTGACGCAAGAATTCCTCAATATCGATCTTTTGCTCCTCCTTCAAAGTAGACAAACGCACAAGAATCTGATATGGCCAGGCAAAGGCGTTCCACTTCATAGCAAACTGATGATCGCTCAAATTGTAAAAGAAACTATCAAGCAGATCATACTCCAGCCAAAGCACCTGGATATCGGCGCGCAGATGTTCAACCTGTTCGGGCACAGTCAGCGCATAATCACGAATCTCAAATAGATGCTCAATGCTTATGGGTCGCAAGGCGATCTTATGGAACACCTCCTGGCAACGATCAATGATATTATCAGTCGACTCGTACATGCGGTCCACGTAATACTCAAAGATGCGCCGCACCAGGTCAATGTACTTCTTGATCATGAACTGCTTCAGATTGTCCACGTTGACGTAGAATGGTCCGATGGTTATGAATGCTGGCAATATTTGACGAATCTCCTCCTTTTGTCGCTTGTACTCCAATATGTCCCACTTCACCTGTGACGAGGGCTTGCACGCAGCTGCATAGTCTTTCATAAATTCGTTGACATTTAGCAAGTAAAAGTTGATGAATCGCTCGTAGTGGCGGGCGTAGGCCTTCAGGGGCAACACAGCCTGGGCATAGCAATTGCGCATTAGTTCATGCTGAGTTAGGAATTTATCCTCGATCAGTTCTACGGTCAATACGAATAGATTATGGGCGAATTTCAAAGAGCTCATGACATCCGCTTCAATTGTCCGCACACCCGACACCTTCTCCAGTCCCCGCTTAAAGACGTCCATTAACGAGGGCTGAAACTCATCCGGATTTGTGGAGTAGAAAACCTTCCGATCCTCATTAATGCCAATTGTCAGTGCAAAGACGGGCTTTGGAAAGGGAAATTCCGTATCAATGAAGTTACTTGTCCACTTATAATTGCTCTTCAGGTTCAGGAACTGCTGACACGGATCACAGACGAGATTTGCGAAGTTCGTCAGCGAGGAGAACAGCAGCACCTCCATTGACTCCTGCATGCGAAACTTCACCTGCAAAAGGAATTGAGAAATCTTGCACATCTGATAGACAGTCCAATTGTTCAGCGAGATGTCCAGCCAGCCCTTGCCCAGGGCACGCAGCACCAATGTGATCACAGTCGTCAGCTGCTGCGGCCAATAGACCTTCAGAAAGGTCGAAACACTATCGCTGTGCGTCTCTTGCGACTGCAAAAAATCAACCAGAGCCATCGGCTTATTGAAGGTGCACACGAATATGGTTAGCGTCTCGATGTGTTGGCATTGGCTAGCGACGGCCATCATGGTCTCGATGCTGCCGGTACAATAAAATAGGCTAGTTCTTAGCCAGCCGTAGCGTTTCTCCTTAATATTTATTTCAAGCGCCTGTAGCTCTCGTCGCTCGTGATCGGCAAAGTCAACTCGGGCGGCCGTTGGCATAAACTCCTTGAGCGAAATATTGCGGAACTGTGGAAACTCTTTGGGCATGTGTATGATGAACTGTTCCAGCTCGTAGAGAGCCATCAGGCGCTCGAAGACAATGTTCACCTCGGAGCGCAGACGTCGCTTGCACTGATCAGAGACTTTGGACTTCTGCAGCACAGCTTCAATGGGCTTAAGGCTCTGAAAAGTCGTCGATTCAATATCGTCATGGAGCACACAGTCCACAATCAGCTCCATAAGCATCAGTTGCTCGCCCTTGTGCCGTTCGTGCACAGCCGACTTGATACGCTGGATGTATTTGTGCGGGTCCTCGGCTAGGAACATGAACTGCAACTTGGGCACCTCGTAGCTGCACTCATCATCCATCGAGATGAGCGTCCAGAGATCGGTTTTCTCATTGTAGAATGTAACCGCAGCCGTAACCCAACGACAGCTGCGCAGACTTCGATTATAGGGCAAATAGGCGCGTGCCGGCAGCGGATAATGAACATCGCCAACAATGCCCAGCTCAAACCAGGCAGCCGGGGAGCTAATGTCATAGTTGCTGTCGTCGAAAAAGCTGAGAGGAAACTTGTGCGGAAAGGCAAATTCAGACATCAAATTATATTGCTCCTCGGTGGGCTGCAGCATATCGTCGGTGAGTCCGGCTTTCTTGAGCTCTTCAATTAGATTAATTTTGCTGTATTGTCGACGGCGGCGATCCACGGCCACATCCTTGGGCAGTTCACCCTTGGGCACGAAGCGCGTCTGAATGACCTTCGGCAGTATCGTGGGCAGTGGAAAGCGGTAGACTTTCCCATTCTTACCCACTAAGGTCAGCCAACGTTGTGCCTCCTGTATGGGATAGTGGACGGGCGTCAATTGTTCGCGCGGTATATGCAACTCTTGGAAATGCTTAGGTGCTGTGCCAGGACGTGGTGGCATAATACAAATTGCTGCCGGAAGAATCTCATCTTCGTCAATGGATTGTGTACTTTGAACAAATACAGATTGCTCACTTAATTCCTCCATTTCAAGGTATCAAGATTTTTTTTTTTAATTCGAATATATTCCTGATATTGTGTCGTAAACTATGAAATAAATGACATAGTTTGTGGTGGCGTCAATTTCTTAAATCATTTTCTTGTTTAATTATACATTTTTAAAATTTTCAAGCAGCGCGCCCAGTGGAATTTATATTAGTTGACTACACAAACATATAAAGTTGGCAACGCGAACGTTACATATAAGGAGAGAGTAAACATATCTTCGTTTTTCAGCACTGACAACAACAGTGATGAGCAAATTTAATGTTGAATTCTTGCAGCTAACTGTGAAGACATATGTCAATTTAAACACATCCCAATTATTATAAATGATGCCGATTTTAATTAACTGCATATGTACATCACGATTTTACTTAGTATGTTAAATATCACACAAATATTGTGACTCTTCATTCGATACTTACGATATTTTATACCACCTCTAGCAAGTCACGTAAATATCGTTCGCCTCAATTAAACGCTAGTTCGTTCGTGTGCAACAAAAAGTAATTTTTCAATGGAAAAGCAAATGAATTAATTACGAAAACTAATGAAAAACGCAAAAGAAAAGCCATGCTAAACATATGCATAGAAAGTAAGTGAAAAATATTGTGCATACTATGCGAAAATTCTGTGTGAAAATTTTCAACTTTCTGCTCGAGCAACGGTGCTCCGCTGGACAGAGAGAGAGCAAAAGCCCGTGAGAGCAGAAAAAATCAATAAAAATTGTCGTAGCATCGCGATTGAAACGAGCAAAACAAAGAGCGCGCAACGAATGTGCGTGAAATGAGGGAAGCGCTAATAAGAGCAGCCGTTAACTGTTCCCGTTTCAGTTTCAGTTTCAGTTGCAGCTACATGGCCCAAATGCGTTGGCAGCAGACAGGTGTACTCAACAGAGCGAGAGAAAGATAGTCAGAACGGAAGTCAAATAAGAAATAAAAAAATCGTAAAGTTCACAAGAATAAAGCAAACAACTGCGCGAAAAGTAAACTGCAAACAGCTGTTACAGTTATTGTGTGGCACAATCAGTGTAAATATTTGTGTTTGATTTATGAAAAAGCTGGCAAAGCAAAGGCATTTAGTTCACTTAACCCTACTGAACCCACAACAAAGCGCGTCACCCACGCTTAAGCATTTACTCAGTGCACGCACACAGACAAAATCATATGTATGTACATATATATTTGTATATAAATATGTATGTATATGTATATATATCTTAAGTTGAGCCAACGCTCGCACGTTCGTTCACTTTGATGGGTGCGCGTATACAGCAAACATTCCGCCTTTAAATCGAATGTATTTCGCAAAAGCAAAAACAACGGCAACGGCGAACGCAGCGATAACAATTGAAACAGACAAACGGCAAAGCTTGCACCGGTGATTCACAGCCGACGGAGTCGCTAATTAAAGCGACTGTGAGTGTTGGCGTCGGCGGCAATTGAATGTGGAATATACATTGAATATAGAATATAGAATGTCAAACAAGCTTTGATGATGTGATTTTCGTATCCGACTAAGTAATTCAATTTTGTTTTGCGCATTTGCAGTTTGAGCAGCAGCAACAACAGCGACAACAACAACAACAGCAGCTATGAATGTTATGCGAAAGCTGCGCGGCGCTGCCAGCGCCAGCAGCAGCAGCACTTCAGGCGCCAGCAGCAGCAATGCCAGCCCAAACGCTGTCAGTGCTCCCAATGGACGCACCGGCGACGAAGCACTGCTCGATGCACGCATACAAATGAGCCTGGCCACGCTGAAAAAGCTCTTCAACGAGTACACACATCCCAAGGAGCCACTCAGCGAAAATGAACGCGATGGCAAGCTCTATGAAATGCTGCCATTGTTTTGCAAGGTCTGTAAACTTTACCATGTCAACTATATATATAAATGTGAATGTTATTTATTGATTTGTTTTATGGCCACAGGTGTTTAGCAGCTGCCCCGCCAACGATATGAGCGAAAAATTCTGGGATGTTGTTGCCTTTTGTCAACAAGTTTCTCGACTGATGGTCAGCGAGATACGGAAACGTGCATCAAATCAAAGCACAGAGGCTGCCTCCATTGCCATTGTCAAGTTTCTCGAGGTGGAAACAACGGAGGATACCAGCAGTGGCTGGCTACTGCTAGCCACACTGAATCTCTTGGCCAATGGCGATGTTTCGCTTATACAGGTTAATTGCAATCGATATTAGAGTTATGTAAAGAGATTAGGAAAATATTCGAAAACTTACACAAAGAAAGAAATAGGTAACGATAGAGAGGCATTGTAAATTTTTAATTCTTATCAACATGGGAATTGGTATTTCCGCATTAGTTCATTTATAGACCAGCCCCTAGGGATTAATGCATTCATTTGCATTTGTTGATGTTATATGTTCAGATCCAATTATACATATTACATTTGCCTCGTAATACACATATATTATATGTCTGCTACAGATAAGCATATAGCAGGAAGGCAAAATAACTGACCTCCATATTTATAACATGATAGCTGGAATTACTTGAATGTCAACCATACCAATAATAAGAAAGAATAACAATCTCTCCATATAAGAAGTATTTGTCATGTATAGTATATTATGTAATTGATTGACGCAGATTGAATATATAGAAACCGTTACGCCGCTATGTTATCATTAAAATTATTTACTGTACTTTACTACAAGTTCAGCTCTTAAATGATAGTTTATTCATTATTAATCAAAACATATTTTCCTCTTAGGTCATGACAGCTGCGGCAGTGCCCTCAACTTTAGTCAAGTGCTTGTATCTGTTTTTCGATCTGCCCCAAGTGGAGGACGATGAACCACCTGCTGATGGTGAAAGTGTCAGCGATTTCAATGCGCACGAACGTCGCACCTTGCTGCAAAAGGTATTTGTACAGCTGCTGGTCAAACTGTGCTCGTATCCCTACCCAGCCGAGGAGCTGGCACGCATGGATGATCTAACGCTCTTGTTCTCCGCCATCACCGCACCCTGCCCCATGCAAAATATTGTCTGGCGCAAAAATGCAGCCGAGATACTGACCACCATCTCGAGGCATGGCCTGACCGATGCCGTTGTTACCTATATACATTGTAAGTATATTTATATATTATATATACATACATGCCGCTAACCTTTCAATTCTCCTGTTTCTTAGCCAAGGGCTGCATGGCGCTGTGCGTGGATAACATGCAACGTTTGGCATTTGGCAATCCTCTGGAAATAGTCGAAATGTTTGTCACGGTCTTTTGCTTTCTCAAGGATTCTAGTCAAGTATCCCAGATACTCATGGATGACTTTCGAGCCTCTCAGGGCTATGTGTTTCTCAGTGATTTTTTGCTCAAGTATGTTGATTATTCACAATGTTAGCATTAGCATAATACCCTGCAATATTCCACAGGTTCGACAATCCTCGCAGCCAAACCCTGGAAATTCAGGCCGCTATACGCAACCTAGTGCTAATGATCTCATCGCTCTGCATGTGTGGCTTCTACGAGCTGCGTCCGCCGGCTGCCCAATTTAATACGGCTTTCAAGTTGCAGAACTTTCAGCTGCCGCAAGCTAGTTCACGCGAAACTTGTGTGCGGAATGTTTATGCATTTCAGGTGCTACAAACGGTCTTCCTCAGATCGACAACACCTGCGCTATGCTGCACCATACTGGATGCTATTTCACGCGTGTATCACTCGGAGAACGCCAATTATTTTATACTCGAATCGGAGCATACGTTGAGCAGCTTTGCAGAGCGCATACACCAGAAGAGTCCACAAATCCAAGAGAAGTTCTACGATCTGCTTGAGTTTATAGTCTTTCAATTGAATTTTGTGCCCTGCAAGGAGCTAATCAGCTTATCACTGCTGCTCAAACACAATCAATCGACATCGTGCAGCATCCTCTGTCTTAAGACTCTGCTCAACATTCTGCGCCACAATAGCGTGTTTAAGGATGTTTATCGCGAGGTGGGAATACTGGAGATATTTGTCAGCTCCCTGAATCGATATTCAGATCATGTGCGACAAATCACAAAAGGCGATGATTCGCTTGTGGTACAGCTGACAGCTGAAGAGCCAGAGGACCTGCTCGATACACTGGGCAAGCTTGTATTGGAGGCTTTGACAATGCTGCTGGGCGGCGGTGCCAGCAACAATGCTCAACTATTTCGCGAATACGGTGGCGCGAAGTGCGTCCATGAGTTGGTCAAGTACAAGCATTGTCGTCCCCAGGCGCTGGGCATTGTACGCGAGCTGATACTCTCCGCTGGTGGGGACGATGATATGCTCTATATACTCTCACTGATGCACAGCATCAGTCCACATCAAGTGGAGTTCAAAATCCAGATACTAAATATGCTTTTGGGCTGTCTTAAGGACTCGCATCGCACACGCACCGTATTCCGCAAGGTGGGCGGCTTTGTCTATCTAACCAGCGTCTTTGTCTCGCTCGATGGCAGCATGGCACAGCCTCAGCCGGACATTGCCCAACAGGATCTCATTCTCTTGCTGCAAATTGTCTGCCAGACGTTGGCCACAGCCATGCGCTTTGAGCCAGCGAATGCCAAGTTCTTTCATCAGGAGATCTGCAACAGTTCGCTGTGCGACACGTTGCGACTGCTGGGCTGCTTTGGTGGGGACACCACGCTACAAGACTTTACAGGCAACTATGAGCCGCAACAAACGCTACTCAAATATTACCATGACGTATTTAGCGGCGATATACTGAGCTTCAGGTGAGTTCATATATTATTCTAAATTATATTATGGCATTTTTTATTGGTTAATATTCCTTTTAGTTTCTCTGACAATGTACCCAGCTCGTTGTCCTACATCTGTGTGGTATTTCGGCTGCTGTATAGCATTGCCTTGGACAATTTCGAGACGCCCAACTTGAGCGGAGTCATCACGCTCTTCAGCGAGACTGCGCCTCATTCAAGGTCGCCCAGCAAGGAGTTGGCTCCGCCCGTGCACCCCAGTCAACTAAATCTTACACAACCCGCACCCGAGCCACGTATCGTTCATCCCGGTGTAGTGCTGTGCATGCTGCAGCTGCTGCCAGGTGTGCAGCATGATACGGCTCCGTTGCAGGCCATCCAGCTGCAGGTGTATCTAAGTGAAATTATCAAGTCGCTGGTGCGCAGCGAGCGTAATCAGCAAATAATGTGCGACCATGGACTGGCCGAGCAGCTGCTTAAGCTGACACGACGCGCTTTGGCCGAGGAGCAGCATCCATTGCATGTCCCAATGCAGTATATACTGGAACGTCTGGCGGCGCAGGCGCTACAGCCCACAGAATTGCGCCAATTTCTGCGTCTGGGCGAACCTCTCTCCTGTGCAGATATTGATCTACAGCAGCCCTATAGGCAGGGCGGACCAGTGCCCCTGACGCGCATCAAGACGTTGGTCTCGATGACAACACCTCGTGATTTTCGTGCCCATGGCTCTAGCACGTTGCCACCATTCGTGGAGCTAGACATGTCAGCCGAAGGATTCGGTTGCCTCTATTTGCCATCGCTAGCGCCACAGGCTACAGCCACAGCTGGTGGCACAATTGATGCGAATACGATTGGTGGAATCGGTGCCGGCGATCGCATCTTTCCACCACAAACAGGTCTCAGCTATTCGACATGGTTTTGTGTTGAAAAATTCTCCGATCCCAAGGCAGATCCGCATTGTGTTAGGCTCCTTACGCTGGTGCGCACCATTCATAATCCACGAGAGGAGAATCTGGCATGTTTATCCATTTTGCTATCAGCCAGAGACAAAGCCATTGTTGTATCCACGCAAGAGACACTCGTCACGCCTAGAAAAAGTAAGTCGACCGTTGGTGACTTATTTCTGATGTCATTTCATTCGTATCATTGTTTGTTTTTATCGTTGTCATAGGAATTCTTTGTATGCACATTGACTAACTAAATCCACTTTTATCATTTATACTTTGCTTTACTTTCATTTATTCGATGATATCATTTTCAAGAGCTTTCATGACTTGATCAAAAATCGTATGATAAATAAACTTATTTATCACAGCTTATATAAAGTTGCATAAACATTTATTTGATAGAAATTCGATGAGGTATAGAGAATTTGATATTGAATATTTGTTTACAATTTTATTGTCTAATCAAAGTAGAAATTCGCTAGATGAGAACTTCCTCATTTCACTTCATAAGCCATTTTTTATATATAATTTAATTGACAATTTAACTGTACTCTCAGGTATCGGCGACTGGGAGCCAGAAGGTTCGGATGATGGCATTGCTCGCATCTGGTGCCCGGATCTCTTGCACGAGGGCCAATGGCACAATTTGGTTGTAGTGCTCAATCGTGCCGTGCTTAAGAACTCCAGTCTCTCGCTCTACCTGGACGGTGTGCCCATGCACACGCAGAAGCTGCACTATATAGCGCAGCATCCGGGCGCTAGTAGCGCCAATCTAACATCGGCTACGCAGATCTTCGGCTACATTGGCACGCCGCCCATTTGGCGTCGCTATTCGCGTCTGTGCTGGAAGCAGGGTGTCTGCCATCTGTTGGAGGATGTGCTTACGCAGCAGACGGTGCAGACTATCTATCAGCTGGGCCCACACTATATGGGCTCGTTGCAAGCGCCACAGCTGGGCAAACAGGCGGAGCCACTGGCGCCCCTGGTGCCCGAGGATCGTGTGCTGCTCGGCCTGAATGCTAAGGCGGTTTCCAAGCTAACATTGGTTAAGATACGCAAGGTTTACAGTCGGGCGGATAACAAGAGCATTGCCAAACAGCTCAATATGAATTCTCATGAGAATGCCACGCCCATTAAGTGAGTAGCTACCAATGGGTGATCCGAACCATTTCTGTATAAGCACTTTTATTTTCCAGAATCCTTCATAACTCAGCGGGTCATTTGGCTGGCGCTGGTCGCTCTCTGGGTGGCGTTGTGGTTGGCTATTTGGGAGTGCGGGTTTTCAGTCCACATCCCGTTTCGGCCATGATTGACACCGTCGGCGGCTGCAATGTGCTACTTGGGATTATTGCCATGGCCCAGGACGTGGAGTCTCTGTATGCGGGCGTCAAGGCGTTGACGTGTGTAGTGCGCAGTAATCGCGCTGCACAGGCGGAAATGGATCGCAAACGTTGCTATCAGACGCTGGGCATGTTCTTCAAGAAAAAGAAACATTTGCTTAACTCACACATTTTACATCTGACCTTTGGCCTGGTGGGCACGGTGAACAGTGGACATGATATGTCAGCCATACCGAATGTGACAGCATTTCAGGATTTGTTGTGCGACTTGGAAATCTGGCATAATGCACCAAATGGTCTTTTGCGCTCGCTGCTGGAGCACTTACTCGAGCTGGTCGTGGAATCGAATGAGAAAAAACAGAACGTGAAAATTATGCGCGATCTGCAGCTGCTAGTGAAACTGTTGCACATTATAGCTCACATTCAGGATCATTCCACGCGTGAGATTCTTTTCAGTCTACTCGAGACGCTGCTTGGTGGCCAACCACGCCATACGGATTTGTTGCTCTTTGGCCAGTATGTAGCCGCCAAGTTGCCACGTCTGCAGGACTTAAATGTAGAGCGTGCTGTGCTACTGCCCAGCATGAAGCAGCCAGCCGAGGATCAGGACGGTGTGGCGCACAACATTTACTTGCGCAATCGCTGTCTCTCGCTGCTGCACGGCTTGCTCTTTACGCCTCGAAACACCGTCAACTACGTCATTTGCGATGACATATCGAAGACGCTCGGCATGGATTGGCTGCTGCTCTTCATGCAGCCGCACGTTCACTTCACCACAGTCATCATAGCCGTACGCATTCTAGTTGTCGTGTGTGCCAATGAGAGTTTCCTGGTTCGCTTTCGTGATGCCACCCACAATGGAGGCTATTTACGCTTCACTGAAATGGTTTCGCAACGCAAAATGCTCGGTTTGGGTGCCCAGCAGCTTAATCAACGTCCCAACAATGGCACTGGCACTGTCATCGTGGCCACGCCCCAAAATACAATACAGCATCTGCCCACGCAGATTGCGGGCGAGGTGCGCCCAGCGGCTTTGAATATCCCTGGTGAGTCGATAAAATATGAATCTAATTTGCTAGAATTGGAAGTTAAATTGAAGTTTAAGAATCTATAAGGAAATTAATTAATAATTAATATTCTTCACTGTCCTCAGTTATGTATCTATTAATTTTTATCGTTTGCTTATTTCCTTACAGGTTTCCAGTTGCTTGAATGGCTCATGCAACACCATTTGGACGTGCCGGAGCTGTATTTCCTCGTGACGGCTTTGATAATGGGTCAGCCTGTTAAAGTGCTGGCCACGGAGCATACGAAATTCGATTTGGATCGAGTGTGGTCCTTCCTCTGGGGTGCACCAGTCTCGGCCAATACGCAACTGCCCAAGCTAAGTGTCTGTCCCGAAGGCGTCTGTGTGCTGCTGGCCATGGTGCGTGCCATTGTGCACGGTGGCGACTGTGCCACCTGGCTGCATAATCACCCGGAAACAATTATTCAGTTGCTGTTTAGCCTCTATCAGAATCTCAGCGATTTTACGCCAGTTATGATGGCAGCAGATGTGGTCACCTCTCTGGTTGCGGTGCTCTTTCCGCAGGTTTCACGTTCTGGCGACTCGGAGCCAAACAGTGGCACCTCCACGCCCACCGACGGCACGGGCAGCAGCTTTGTGCTGCCTCCGCCGGAAGCGCTACACGCAGCTGTGGCCAATCAACCGAAATTAACAACGCATCCAGTGCATAAGTGCGTCATTGACTTTTTGCGCGTGATCGTGGTGGATTCTTTAGGACTTAACATGCATGGCAAGGCAACGCCTGTTATAGATCTAGTTCTAGACGCCGCACCAGAGACATCTGAACTGCCATTGCAGGTGCAATACCAAACTCAGATCATTATCGCACTCATGGATCACCTATTGGCCGCCGATGTTCTGGTGGGAGAGCAAGCAGCGCTACCCTTGGTTCCACTTCTTCAAAGTCACACGCAACACATTGCCCCAAATGTGTTCTACCTGACGGCCCGAATTGTGGACAAGTTGTGGCAGGGCTGCCTCACGCGGAATCCCCACGATATCTTTGACTTTGTGATCAAGCTGATTGGTCAGGCCAAGCGGAGATCCTCTTCATTGTCGCTGGAGCAGTTGCATCACTCACTGAATCGGAGTATACTCTTTTTGCTTTCCCGTCCCACCGATGATTCGATAGCCGAACAGATGAGCGTTTTGGAAGCGCTACACAAAATCATTCAACATCGTCTGCTCATCTTTGGTGCCGGCAATCACGAGCTCGAGTTCATTGGCTGTCTCACCTATTGCCTGATGCAGCTGACGGCTGATATGAAGATTATATTGGAGCCAGCAACAAGCAGAAATACCACCTGGCATGTGAATCCACAAACGGAGACAACGGAGCCCAAAGACGAGGATCTCAATCAGTTGCAGGTAAGTGGAAAGATCAACTTCTCCGGAATAAACATTAATTCATTTCATTGAATCTTTGCCAGGGTCGCAACTTGATTGTGGGCGCCGCCTTTCGTGTTTGGGAGGAGTTATACGTGTGCAAGAAGCCCGCCATTGAGGAAGTCTTTAAGATATCGCTAACCCCACCACCAGCCAACTCTAAAGCACCCGACTTGCAGACAACACGCGAACAGGTCATGGAGCTGGCCTCTAAACTGTGGTTCAATTATGTAGATGCCGAACGTAAAGCCTCGTATCGTGTGCCCTGGGAACTGCACAATCAAATACAATCCAAGATACAAAAGGTAACGGGTGGACTGACCCGTTTAGCCAGTCGTTCCAAGGTGAAAAAGGATGAGCTCGTGCGCACCAAGTCAAATATGAGCCGCGAGTCAGCGTACGAATGCACGGGCATACATGTGCAGTTGATTAAGGATTTGCTGGAGCTGCGCACCAAGCAATATCAGCAAATGCTGCAGCACACGCAGCGCTACGTCTACCAGGATTGGGTGCAATCCGAAACGGAACTCACACGTGAGCGCGGTTTGTGGGGTCCGGCGGGCTGTTGCACGCTGGACAAGTGGATAATGGACACGACCGAAGGACCGCATCGAATGCGCAAAAAGACAATGCGCAACGAGCTCTTCTATCTGCACTATCCATATCGACCTGAGTTGGAGCTAGCAGACAATCGTCAGCTCAAGTACAAGGTGGCCTCAAGCTTGGATAGTAAAATATACTTTCTACATGGCCAGCAACAGCCTCGCATCTTGGCAGAGGCCGAGCAGCATGCGATGCAGCAACAGTCCTCGCTGGAGGCAACGAATCCGCATCGCCTGGAGGCAAGCAGTTCGACATCGACTCCACCGCCGCCTATCTCGCCCAAACTGTTGGCTCACGGTGCACCTTATCAGGAATCACTGGACGGCAATGCCCAGGACGATGATGAAGAGGAAGAGGACACATCCATGACCAGCGAAAATGAAACCTTTTTGCGTTTGCTCGAAGAACAAGAGAAGATCAGCTTCATGTTTCGCTGTGCCCGTGTTCAGGGCCTGGACACCTTCGAGGGTCTGCTGCTGTTCGGCAAGGAACATTGCTACATTGTGGATGGTTTCACGCTTCTAAAGAACAGAGAGATACGCGATATTGACACGCTACCTCCCGGCGCCTACGAGCCCATCATACCCAACTCGGGCGGCCAAACATCGTCGACCTCGCGCGCTGTTAGCCACAAGCTGAGGCAGTGCTCCAAGTTCGCCTACGAGGAAATACGCGAAGTGCACAAGCGACGCTACCTCCTGCAACCCATTGCGCTTGAAGTCTTTTCTGAGGATGGACGCAACTATTTGTTGAGTTTTCCGCGAAAGGTGCGCAACAAGGTGAATCAACGGTTTCTGGCCCTGGCCACCGCACTTAATGATAATGCCCAACAATCGGTGGCTGGACAGAAACGCACGGCCAGCGTGGAGCAAACTTCGGGTCTGTTCAGCGGTTTGATTGGTGAAACGTCAGTGACTCAGCGCTGGGTTCGTGGCGAGATCTCAAACTTCCAGTACCTGATGCATTTGAACACACTCGCTGGTCGCAGCTACAACGATCTCATGCAGTATCCGGTGTTTCCCTGGATTTTGGCCGATTATGATTCCGAAGAGTTGGACTTTACGAATCCGAAGACATTCCGCGACTTTTCCCGCCCCATGGGCGCCCAATCGGACGAGCGCTTGGAGCAGTTCCAGAAGCGTTTCAAGGAATGGGACGATCCGCATGGCGAAACTCCGCCCTATCACTATGGTACACATTACAGCTCGGCCATGATTGTGTGCTCCTATCTGGTGCGATTGGAGCCGTTCTCACAGCCATTCCTCAAATTACAAGGCGGACATTTTGACTTGGCAGACCGTATGTTCCATAGCATTAAGGAGGCCTGGCTATCGGCATCCAAGCTAAATATGGCTGATGTCAAGGAACTAATACCCGAGTTCTTCTACTTGCCCGAGTTTCTGAGCAATTTTAACAACTTTGATCTGGGCACCAAGCAGAATGGTGAAACCTTAAATCATGTCATATTACCACCCTGGGCCAAACAGGATCCCAGGGAGTTTATTCGGCTGCATCGAAGCGCTTTGGAATGCGATTATGTTAGTCAGAATCTGCATTTGGTAAGTTAACTGTGCGTTACAGACTTACGTTGAAATTATGAGAATTGCATAGAACTAAATAGTTGGATTATGGGTAGCAGAAACTCTTAAGTTCCAGCAATATTTCGTATATTTTGAAACATTTTGATTTAGTAAATTTCTCTTTTTAGTGGATTGACTTGATCTTTGGATGTAAGCAGCAAGGACCGCCCGCTGTGGATGCAGTCAATGTGTTCCATCATCTCTTCTACGAAGGCAATGTCGATATTTACAAGTAAGTTAAAGCGTTAAGATACACAAAAGAAAGCATGCTAATGGCTATTAACTCTTTTCTAGCATTGATGATCCACTTAAAAAGAATGCCACTATTGGTTTCATAAACAATTTTGGCCAAATACCGAAGCAGCTATTCAAAAAGGCGCATCCAGCCAAGAAAATGGCCAATGCGCGACATTCGGCGCTGATCGATCCCACGGCTTTGATACAGGGCAACACGACAGTGCTGCAAACGGATCGTCTGTTCTTCCACAATCTTGACAGCTTAAAGCCTAGTCTACAGCCCATTAAGGAGCTGAAGGGGCCTGTGGGACAAATTTTGCAGCCCGATAAAACGGTCTTTGCTGTTGAGCAGAATAAGGTGATGATGCCGCCATCGTATACCAAATACATTGCCTGGGGCTTTGCTGATCATTCGCTGCGCGTGGGCCTTTACGACACGGATCGCGCCTCGTTTGTCTCCGAGGCCGCGGCCCAGAACTCAGGCGAGATACTGACTTGCGCCTGTCCCAATGCCAAAATGATTGTGACAGCCGGCACCAGCTCCGTGGTGACTATCTGGAAATTCGATGCTAATCGCAAAAGTCTCAGCGTGCGCCATTCACTGCATGGGCACACGGATGCGGTGACCTGTTTGGCTGCCAGTGCTGCCTACAATGTCATTGTCTCTGGATCACGAGATGGAACTGCCATTGTTTGGGACATGTCACGCTTTACCTTCGTGCGTCAACTGCGCGGACATGCGGGCGTTGTGTCCGCCGTTGCCATCAACGAGCTAAGTGGTGAAATCGCCACCTGCTCGGCCACCTGGCTGCATGTGTGGTCCATCAATGGCGATGCTCTGGCCATGGTAAATACGTGTGTGGGTAGCGCCGATCGCATGCAACAAATTCTGTGTGTTGCCTTCTCTCAAATACGTGAATGGGATCAGCAAAATGTGGTAATGACGGGCTCCACAGATGGCGTTGTTAGGGTGAGTGAGCCATCCGTAAGCCAATCCAACCGCTTTACTCATTTATCTCATTCTAAGCAGATGTGGTCCCTGGAGCACACTCAAGTACCCATTGATCGCAAGCTGAAGCGAGGCGTGGAAGTTACCTCGCAAGATAAGCCCGATGCAGGCTCCGTTGATGAATCTCAGAATAAGCCAGATAAAATGAATATTTTCAAGCAAATAAAGAGCCTTTCACAACCTGAGCCAGAACATGGTTAGTTAACGCATTCATTCGATTAAAATCTTAACTAAAACTAATTATATATTTACAGAGATTGTAAAGTCCGCGTCGGAAAGCAGCATTTCTGAAGCCTCGCAACACAGCAATGAGTCCAGCCAATCTGTTAAAGTGGAAACCACCGCAGAACGTAGAAAAAGCTCCATTAGCGGTGCTAAATCGCTGCATGAAATGAAATCGGCCACGGTAGAGGGTCCCAGCAGTAGCTCAGAGCACAAAACGAATGAAGGTGAGAGAAATAAAACATCATTTCCGATAGCATTCTCATATATTTCCTGTATGCTCTTTACAGAGGAGCACAGCATTCGTCCAAGCAAATCGGACACCAGCTTAACAGACGGCTTCGTTCTGCTGGACAATGACAGACATCGTGGCGAGCAGGCACTTAGAAAAGGTGCTTAAACTGCAAAATCTAAAACACACCCAAATCAGCAAACCATTTATATTCCTTTCTATCCAAACGCTTGGCATTAACATATTCATATCATATCATATTTTCCCAGGCTTTAAATGGCAGCGTCAATTAATGTTCAGATCAAAGCTAACCATGCATACGGCCTATGATCGCAAAGATAATGCCGAACCGGCTAGCATAACAGCTCTGACGGTATCCAAAGATCATAAGATCTTATATGTGGGTGAGTACAGTCAGAAATGAGCAGACTATACTTTCAGAACATGTACTAATAATTCAAATTAATTGCACAGGCGATGCACGTGGTCGCATTTTCTCATGGAGCGTTACTGAACAGCCAGGTCGTGGTGTCGCCGATCATTGGCTTAAGGATGAGGGCGCTGAGCAGTGTGTCAAGTGTCATGTGAAGTAAGTTTGCCTTCTAAATAGAGAATTATATGCTATAAAGAGCTTATTGAGTGACATCGCAATCTGTCTATCGTATATCTCCTTTAGAAAACTTGTGCTTTTTTTAATCCTAATACTAATTTCATTTCAGATTTACACTATATGAACGAAAGCATCATTGCCGTAATTGTGGCCAGGTCTTCTGCAACAAGTGCAGTCGCTTCGAATCGGAAATATCGCGTTTGCGCATTCTGAAGCCAGTTAGAGTTTGCCAGGCCTGCTATAGCCAGTTGCGCTCGAATTCCCTGGATAATTAAGAAGGGCCTATGATTACCTATGATTTAGTAACGAATTTCAATAACTAAGTTTACTTATGGCAGAAAAAACTATTGTAACTGTAAAAGACGTTAGGGGCATTCATTTAAATACGACTAATTTATTTATATATAATTGTATATTTATTTATAATATTTTTAACCAAAAACAAAAAGTGAGTTGCGCTAAAAAAACAACCAAAGGCTGTTATATGATTTTAAATATTTTTTCTAGTAAAAAACGAAAGTTGTTGCAATATTATTTTATACCTAATTTTAACTATTTATTATACACCGAATAAAACAATAATAAATATTGCTTATACGCCACAATCATTGACAATTTGTAGTGAAGTATTAACTAAATTGTGTAATTATATAAATTATATTAACACTTAAATATATATATAAACAATTTGTGTGTGTAGCATCAACATTTTTGCGCATGTATTAAAGCTGCTTAGCGATGCGACCAGCGCACAATAATATTTTGTTAATTGAAATAAATAAATTTAATACACAATAAAGATATATATATATATAAATATATATATATATAGGGAATGTATGTAGTAGCTAAAACAAAAACAGAACCCAAACTCAATAATTAGCTTACCAAATAACGCAAACAAGCACCGCCAGTTATATCAATTACAAAAAACAACTGAACTTTAATGAATTTTCTAGTAAATATTATAATCAAGCTACATTTGGAGACAGATTTTTACGGAGCAGACAGAAAATGAAAGAAAACACCTAATTAGCACACACAACACACGAACCTCACACAAATATTTATACACATATACAACAACAAAAGGAGGAGAAACTACTTAAGCCGAGTATTAAAATAAAAAAGACATTTTACTTCCAAATTAATAAAAACGATTTAACTAACAACTAACAAGCAATGAGTAACAATGTTGATGTATTAATTGAGTCCATAGAGACAAAAGCAATATTATAAATTGCTTATAAACTAAACAGAGATATAACTAAAAAATTAATAATTAAAGCTAAAATTAAACAAGAAGTTTGGCACACTCTTAATATGTGCTGTCAGAGAGTCTATAAACTTTCATTTTATTTCTCTTATGCTTTGTTCTCTTACGAATCTTCTTTATCTGCAGCCTCTTACTTTGACTCTCTTAAACTAAAGACGACTTTGTATATATAAAAGACAAATAACGAAGCAAACAATAAATGGTAATTAGAGCAAGTAATAATAATAATTAGATAAATAAAATGGTAGTAGTGGTAATTGAAGACAAAAATTAAAAGATATTCGGTATTTTGTAGAGCATCTACATGTTGCATTGATAATAATTTACAAATATTATATACATGTGACGGCTATATACAAAAATTTGTGTTGTTCTAGCAACACATACATACATACATAACAAATTTCAATTTAAATAAAGCAAACACTCCCATTGAGCAGATTTGATACGGCTCCCGAGCCCAAGGAAACAATTACATACATTTTCAAAGACTTAAAAAAACAAGGCAGTAAGGCAAAATAAGCACATTCTACAACTAAATAAACGCAAAAACACATTTCAAGAACTATCCAAAGACTAAGCCAGAAATTCTTACATTTCAAAATAAAGAACAATTATACGATGGAGAAACCCTAGCCAATTAAGTCCAACACAAGAGAACACCATAGCGAAACAACACGAGTAAAACCAAACCCAAATAACTATTAAATATTATATTAAAATATATATATATAAACATATATATATATATTACTTGTTAGTTCGTGTCATAATATATGCGAAAAAGCAAAAATGCAATTTAATAAAATGAATAATGTTAAAAGAAACTGTATTTCATTCATTGGGGCATAGAAAAGGTGAATATATAAAAATATTTAGGATTTAAGAATGAATTCTTTATTATTATGCTAACAGAAGCTTCTGTTTGATACACTCTTAAACACTCTCTTGCTTGCTAATAGCACTTAAGAGAGCAGACACTCATTGACTGTTGGGCAAAGCTGGCGTACATACTAAACACAACACAAAGTTCACAACCATTGCAGTTCTCCCTCTTGTAACATCGAAAAGTACGCTACTTGCATTTATCCCAACACACGACAAACACGAGATCAAATGCATCACAACGTTACTGTATTATATCCCCCCTTTCTGGCTTGAGGAATAAGGCCTGCACACCAAATTATATATGGAATGTGTTATACATAAACCATAACACAAACTAATTAATCAATTGTATTTAAAAACTATTTTAAGCGCACTCTCGATTTAATAAACGATCACAGCCCACAACTGTTTTCCTTCCACACACACAGCTCTCCTTCCCCTCAAACTCACCCATGAATAGTCAACGGGATCCAAAGCACACACTGAGCGAAAAAGACAATTCGTGAACCACAATTTGTGGATTAAACCAAACATGAATTCAAATAAATGTTGCTTTATAAATAACTGAAGCAAATGAAATCTACTATATGAAAAATCAGCACAAGCAACCTATGGAGCATACGAGCATCGTATAGCGGGTGAGGCCAGATGAGAAACATGCATAAGAGCAACCAGGACGCAGTCTGATCCCCATTCAGCGTCCACCCTCTGCCCAGTGAAGAAACTACATTTTTAGTTCTTTTCTCCCAAGAGAGCCATATATATTATGTACGTGTAGGTGTGCTTACGTTTTTGTGTCCATAGAAAAATGACTGTTTAAATAAAGTTGCCATTCGGTGAGGAGATGTACATGAACCGAATTCACGAAATCACGCGCCGCTTTGCCAGAGATGGAGCGTCCAGCTCTTCATTGCTGACGTCCATTGTGTGTATGCCAAGATGACCGATTGAGTGACCTGTCGCGCATGCAAAAGCCACCAGGACAGCAATTGCCACCAGGGCAACCTGATGGTGGAGCTTGTGCCGATCCACCCATTGGGCAACAATTGCCATTCGGACAGCTAAAACTTTGCCTGGAACCAAACTGGTAGCTGTTATTTGACGAATATCCATCCATAGTTGCTTTGCGCTGAGGGATCATATTTAACATACAACTTTAGGTCTCATAATCTTCGCATTATATATGTTATTTTCTAATTACCTGCACAGAGTTTATTTCACAGTCGGCAAATCGGTGCGTTATTTTTCAGAAAAAAATAACAAAAAAAAATTACTTTTCTGTACTGGAACACTGCTGATTTGTTTGAGGTATACGAAAAGAATGAGCTACTTGGCTACACATCGTTTAGGGGTTAGTCCAAGCAGCGATGACAGCAATTCGTTCGCCTGCTACGTTTCGAACAAAGTTCGAATTAACAACATTCCGAACTGTGTGCAGAGCGCATGCGCTGCAACTGACAAAGTGGTGAGTTTTCTGCTCTAAGAGGCGTGGCTAAATGCTTACACGCACACAATGAAAACTGTGGTGGGTCGGTGAGCGGAGAGAGGTCTAAGAGTTTTTGGGGCATAGAAAAAATGCGACTTCTTGATGCCGCAAATTTGGCATGTGAGTGTGCATATATGTGCGTATATGTGTGCGTGCGTGTATGTATGTGTGTGTACGTGTGTGTTTGATGGGAGGAGGCGCCGAGCAGCAGGTTGTAGGGTATGAGTTAACGCTGGCGTTTCGTCAAATGACTTTGCATTCTGACTGGTTAATATAACCGCAGGATTGTATCAAAGCGACGGGCTGGACTCAGCTTGCATATGTGTGTGTGTGTGTGAGTGCGGAACGGTTGGATTAGTGTTTAACAGTATATGCGACTATATAACCGGCGGCTACTAAATGGGCTGTGTAATAGCTGCCGCGCTGCATCCCACTCGCTATTGCCAAAATACCGATTTACAAGACTCCACCCACAAAACGGTAAACATACATATATAGAAGACGTTGACCGCTAAGCCGAATCCTGCCTACACCAATTTATTCGCTATATAAGAAATGCTAAATATATATAAAATATGTATAAATACATATATCTAAATATATATATATAAACGTGTGTGTGTGTGTGCAACCAATACACAATGTCACAAAAGTCATTTCAATTTAGATGCGAGTCAGTAAATCAACCCCTATCAACATACCAACAACAACCAGCCAGTGCCAGCTCAGAAAACGCCATTGCGAATTTCTCACAACGCACACACATTTACACACTCGAAAAATCACCTACACGCACACACACACATGCATGCACAGCAGCACACATATAGCCAAATACGTACATACACTCATACATCATGCAAATGACATATTCTTGACTATCCCCAACTGACATACGCTACACAGAATTCTTGAAGCACTTAAAACCTATTCGATTTAGGTGGAATATAAGAGAATTATAATATATTATATATATTAAATAGCATTCTTTGGTTTGCGTCTTTTATGTGTGGATTTTGAAAAAAATTTATTTGCATATAAAATTCAATTTTTAGTTTAAGAATTAAATACTTTTTAAATAATGAAAAAAACCAGTTTATACAAATACGTTTTATTTAAGATTTGAATACCTAAAATTAAATGTAACAATAGAAAAAGAATTACCAAACATTTAAATGAAAATGGGAAGCAAAATATTTAAAAATTAAACTGAAAATTTAAAACTTAAAATAAAAAAAATATTATAAAAACAAATAAATAAAAACTTAATAAACGTATGTAAATTTTGTAAAAATAATTAAGTTTAGTACACAAATTTAATTTTATTCAGTATACAAATTAAGCTAAAACTTTATAAAAAATCCGTTTATATTAAAAAAATAATTAATATTAAAATCATATTCATTCGCTTTGGCTCTCTTTACATAAACTGCAATCTTAAAATTCTCAAATGTTTATATATTACCAAAAAGAAGGTGAATTAGTAGTTAAAAGCCAAGTTTGTTTGTTGAATAAGGACTCTCCTGAAACAGCTTTAGGCAGAAAACCTGCTCAAGTTTTAGATTATTGATTAACAAATAGTTGACTTGCAAAACCTATAAAATTTGAAAACTAGTAGGAATTATTAGAATATTTATTTATTTCAATCTTATTATGTTAAGATTATTATTGTCAATATTTTTAATTTTTAATTTTATTATTTGTAATTCTATTGTAAGCCATTAGACTTTAGATAGCAAATGCTAGTTAACTTAAAAACGTGGAATATTAAGAAATATTAATAAATAAATAATAATGTATAAAATAAAATTCTAAATATAAATAATATAATACAATATTTCATCAAAATTACTAATATTCTCTGTTTTTCAAACGAATTTTCACACTTCAACCATTTCGATATGCCCCAAATTGTAGCGCCATCACAGCTGAGATCCTGACTTTAGAACTAATAATCCGACAGCCTACAAGCGCAGGACGAACCAAAAAAATAAGAAGAAAAGAAAAAAGTAGCAGAAGAAGAAGAGGAAAAGAAGCCACCGAGGCATCCGCCCGAAGAGCAGCAGCAGTCACGATTGCGACCTCTGCTGGCAAAGATATTTGCTGAGGCACAGATACAGAGATACACAGTCGAAGAGGGTAAGCGCAAGCAGGACATACATATATAAAGATAGAGAGAGTGAGAGAGAGCAAGACAACAGATGCCATTACCAATACAGTGGCAGAGCGACGTCAACGTCAGCGCCAGCGACGACGACGACGACGATGTCGCCTCGTTCCGTCGCTAGCTTTTCATCATTCTTGACATTTTGTGGTGAATTGTCGAAAGCCACAGGATATGTCGCAGTGTGCGTGTGCGTGTATATGTGTGAGTGTACTACAAAAAAAAAGTAGGAAAATGGTGGACGGCAGGAAGTCTCCTCATTTGCTGTAATCGCATCAGGCGGCAGGCGCAGAAAAAAGGGCGTTTTCCGGTTGGCTGCCCGCCTCTCCAGCCCTGCCCGTGTCCCTGGCCGAACCCATGTCCTTTGCCGTTGCATACCCTTTGTGGCGCCCACTCTCGCAGGGGATGAAATGTAACATTTTGTAGCTTTTCGTAAATTTTCGACTTTTTCGTCGACGTTTTGGTTTTTCGCAACGCGCTGCGCTTTCCACATTTTCATTTTCATTTTCATTTTGCATTTTCCTCATTCGGTTTCGGGTTTTTCCGTGCTGTGCGCTGTCCTGTGCTGTGCTGTGCTGTGGCTTTGCTGTAGCATCGAACCGAGGGTGGGTGGTTGGGGTGGGTTTTTCTTCTTTTTTTTTGGCTGCCTTTGGCTTTGCTCTGCATCCTGTCAAATTGACTGCAAAAAAGGACCTCTCCTTTGGCAGCTTCACTTTCGTAATTGGCGGTCTGCTCTGCTCTGTTCTGCTCTGCTCTGCTCTGCTTTTGGCTCCGGCTACGGCTACGGCACCGGTTCAGCTTCAGCTACTGCTGGCTGCGCCATTCACAGTTGGTCCGTCAGCCAAAACGATCCGCATCCGCTCCGCAGCAGCTGCGTCGTCGTCGTCGTTGCTGTTGTCGTCGTCGTCGTCGCCGTTGTCGTCCTTTGCGTCGGCAAATGCATTCAATATTTTTACGCGTGCGTTAGTCAAAAGTTGATTTGTGATTTTTCCAAGTGCTAATTGTGCTCGAACTAAAAATTAACATAATCCCGATTAAATATTTCGTGTGATCAGCGCAGTCATCATAAACTTAAGCACGCTGGATACTTTAGGGTTTAAATATTTCCATCAGCGGAAAATGGGCACAGGTAAACTTCGCAATCTCACCGTAACACCGTCGGAATTTTCCGTAAAATAAACCATTAAAGCCGTCGCTAAGTTGGAGCAAAATAAATTATATATTCTACGATAAATAAAATATTTTAAGAACATTTGTTCAATATAAAAATATATTTAATTAATAAAAGTTCAAAGAATAATTGAAATAAATAAATAAAAAATTTTAAAATCATGCTTCTTGTTTTAAACGATAAAATTGAAGTCAACTATAAATATAAAAAGAAAATTTGTTATTAGCTTGCTTAATATTGTTTCGTTTCAATTCTTGTCGAATGAATTTTAAATTACACTTTAAAGAAAATTTTATTTTTGTAGAGTTTATATTCAATAATTGAAATTTTATTTAATTAAATATTATAAAAGAATATGTAATGTTAGTTTTACAATTTATTGTTGATTTTTATTAGTTGCTTTTAATAATTATATTTCATATTTATGAGGAAAACTATAGTTTAATAAAGTGAAAAAATAAAAAAATAAATATTGAGACGCAAACTATACGGAATGTAAATTTAATAAATATAAAGAATATTGTTATAAATAGTAAATATGATTATATTAATTTATTAATAATGGAAATATTAATATAACCTTAAAACATTTCAAAAGCATTTAAGAAATATATACTTCAATAATAATTTGATGATTCTTTTATATATTTTTATTATATATTTTATATATTTTTTTATATATTTTTATCGATATTATTTACATGAATATTCTTAGCTTAAATAATGTTATTATAATTGTGTTTATTATGATTATTATTCATACACATATTTATTAGTATTAATATTATAGTATTTATTAATTACTTAAATATTTATAGTATATATATACATATAAAATATATAATATTTATATATATTTATTTATTTTCATTAAATGTTCTATTATTTTTTTATTATTATTGTTATTATTCTTTAAATCAAATTTTAATTTCTATCTCTCAATCATTTTACTTAAAAACCGCTCTTTGGCTCAGTTTAATTGTACGAAATCTGTGCCTTCCCTTCTGATCCAACTATATACTTAACACCCTTTCAATTCTTAAATTTAGATATGCGTAATTCGCAATTCCCACGCCCAAGCCGAGCAAATCCCACGTTCGCCCACACCCACTGAACTGAGTGGGGCAACCTTTTTAGCCTATGAAAACAGTGCAGAGATTTCCATACCGGTCAAAAAGCATATTGTAGAACAGTTCACACTAAGCTATAACCCACTCGCACGCATTATGCGAAAGTTGACGCAACTTGCTAAGCTAACAAAAAAGTGAAATGGAAAGAATAGAGAAGCAAATGCCATGGCATAAATAAACAAAAATATTTAAAATCAACAACAAAAATTTTTAAAAAATAAAACAGACAACTGAAAAGCAACAACTATATAGATTGTTGAGTGCGCAACCCGAAGGGGTCAGGGTCAGGGGTGAAGGGCGAGGCTGGGGTGCCGGGTGTTAACACGCTGCGGACAATTGGCGATGCGCAGGGTGTGAAAATTGGCAACACGCGTCGCAACCAGAGGCAACCCAACCGACAGTTGACAATATGTCAAATGTCACAAAGGACAAAGGACCCCGCCGAAAAAGGACAACAACAAACGCAAACGGGCGCGCTTTATTTTGACAAGTGTCCGAGTGTTCAACTTAATTTGTGAAGCGTGTGTGCCGCCCGGCAAAGGGCTAACACCGTATAACTTGCATTATGTGCTAGCTTTGTGCAATTTTCACTTGCTAATCCGCGACACACTCACACACACACACATGTGGCAGGCAAATATACGGCAACAGTGCCGCAAAGTATGCAACAACTTTTGTGCGTGCCACAGCGTGTTTACCTAACGTAGGCTTTGACGCCGAGCTTAGCTCTTAAATATAAGTTAAATATGCGGATATATTGCGACACGAAACACTCAAACACAGTCTCACTTGAGTTGGGGGCTTAGAGAAATGTATTTAGCCAATTTAGCAGAAGCCGAAAATAGTTGAAGTTGGTCATAGTTAAAAAATCTGTAAAATACAGAATTTATTAACTATTTCTTTTCTTGGGTTGGTTACAGTCTCATTGGGCCTTATTTTCAATAGGCCTTAACTTTTTAATGTATATTACATTTTATAATAAATTCTCAACAATTTTTCTATTATATTTACAATAAGTTTTAACTAGTTAATTGGCCCAATTTCATAACATGTTATCTATATTTTAATCTTTTATACTTACGATATAGCAAGCCACATAGTAAAATGCATCGATAAATATGTTCAAAGATTTTTTTATTTCAATTATTTATTTTAATTTTTAATCTATTATAAATTAATTTAAGTTTCATTTCTTTCACTAATCCAAATTTAGACCCTATTTTTTATTATTCGTTATTATGTTATTATTTTTATAAATTTCCATTTATATCCATATATTTTATATTTATTAATTTTGAAATAAAATACTAAAAGAAAATAATTCCAAAAATATATTTTTTTTTATTTTTTCTAGCTTTGTTTTTTTTTTTAATTTTATTCTAGCTCAGGAGAAACGATCGCATTCAAATCATACAAATTAAATTCCCTTCGAACTCCACCATCAGCCTATCAATAAGTGCTAGAATTCCAGCAGCATAATCTAAATAGTTTGATCTAGCAGATAAATTACCAGTTAAGTAGGCTCAAGTTCGAATCTCAGGCTAGAATATGAAATTTGCCAAAATTGAAATTATTATTCAAAAGTTATATAAGATTGATGCACGCAAATTATATAATGGACATAAATAACACTAGCTAAAAAAATAATAATAATATTTATATATAATAATAATAATTTAAAACAAATAGTAATATTTAAAAATGGTAAAATATTATTTCAAAAATGAAAGCCTGGCTATAAGACAGAAAACTCTTTGAAACATCTTAGCAAAACAAATACATATATATATGAAATAAGATAAATATTATATATTTATAATCATTTTTACCATTATATATACATCTCATTTATTTATATTTTGTATCTATATTCACAGCTGGCGATCGCCTGCTGGACATACCTTGCAAGGTGTGCGGCGATCGCAGTTCGGGCAAACATTATGGCATCTACAGTTGCGATGGTAAGTCTAACAACACTGTACGTCTCTCTCTCATTAATGGATTTTTTATGTTGTAGGCTGTTCCGGCTTTTTCAAGCGCAGCATTCATCGCAATCGGATTTACACCTGCAAGGCGACAGGTGATCTCAAGGGTCGCTGTCCTGTGGACAAAACACATCGCAATCAGTGTCGCGCCTGCCGCCTGGCCAAATGCTTTCAATCGGCCATGAATAAAGACGGTAAGTGAACGGGGCTTTGGGCGCTAGCCGCAAGTCTTTGTTTTGCTTGCCAAATTCATTTAATTATGCAACAAATTAGCCGGGTTTGCTACCCCGGCATAAATTACATTAAACTCAAAAACCAAAAATGCCGCAAGGCCTCCGCCTGCCGCACCCATTTCTAGCTGGAGTCTTCACAGACTTACATGGGCCTGCTCCAAGTGCCTGTGCTCCTTTTGTTGTAGTTGTCATTAAGCTGATTATAAATTATGCGCAGCTCTCACTCTCCCCATCAGGCAGAAGGCAGGCAGAACTCAAATGGCGGCACTTGATTTCTGAACGACATTCTTTGTGTGTAGTGCATAAATTATGGAACGTGACTTTCATTTGCCAGCCAGTCAAGAGCAAAGTGGCGTTGGCAGGGTACAATATAGAGAAAGTGTTTTCAATCAGACACAAATTGAAAATTTTTGTTAATAGATACGAGAGCGCAAGTAGATCGCAAGATTCTTTGTCAGATTGGGCATATTCTCAACAGCTTAAGGGAAATGTAAAAGAAGCTTCTAAGAAGTTAGTTTCACTTTCAATCTTTTCAGTTATACAAAAATATTGATATATTGAATAAACTCCTTAGCAGTTACACAAATATCTTATATCATATATTTTCTCTTATTTTTATAATATTTTTTTTTATTTTTAAAATAATTATAATATTAAATTTTTACCTTTAACATTTTTCTTTCTCGCTTTGCTGTTGAAATCATCTACAACGTGTTGTATTTCTATTGGATTCTATAATATGTAAAGAGTAATTTTTAAAAAGTTTGTTAAGTGAAGCTAAACTTTGTTCTTTTTACTTGTATGATTTTGAGGGCAAATTTAATAAAAATGTTTATAAATTCAAGAAAGGAAGAAGGATATTTCTCTTTACTTGATTTTCACTAATTCAAATAATTTCGGACCAATCAAAATTCGGTCACTTGTTTATTTTATTTATTTGTTTTTATTTTATTTATTTGTTTATTTTATTTTTTTATTAATGTGAATATAACTTTTTGGAGGATTAACTTAGATTAATGCTTTTTTCGATATATTTCAGTAGCTACTTAAGTTATCGATGACATCGAACTGTTAAGGTATTCAATAAGGTTGCCATTAATCATAAATCATCCTAACCTATTGAATTTAATTGCTAAATTATACACAAATCATATTCTTTATAACAAATTAAGCATATTGTGTGTGAACTAGCTGTGACAAATATATTTAAGAGCTGGTTTCATATATTTTACACCTTATTATATATATATAGAAATATATATTCCAGGGGCTGGCGATATAAATATATATAAGGACATTTTGAATAGATGAAACTATAAAAGAAATAATAAATGTATTATTGTTGGAAGAGTAGTTCTGAGCTGCTTATTATTGTGTAGACATTTATATCTTCTGTTACTTTGACCTTGGCTAAGCATTTTAATATTAAAAATGTATTTATTAAAAATGTTCAGTTTTTTAAATCCGAACTCAAGGTATTCTTAAGGTAGTTAAAAATCTCTTTTAAATGAAAAACATAAGAGTTGTATAAATAATAGGCCAAAACCCTTGCTAATCCATGCCTACACAAATCTCTTAACTCTCTCTGCCTCCTCTAGCTTATCCTTTTCTAGACAATCCTCAATAATTTCTCTTCCTTTCTGCCTTTCTTATACCACAACTGTCTGGCAATAGATAAATGTAAATAAGTTTCACTTGAGTCACTAAATGATTTGCATATTACTAACTTGTTCAACTTTATTTTGGCCATTTGCGATTGACCAAGCTTTACAGACCGCTTTCGCACCCATTTATCAAGTACAGAAACAAATTGAATACAGCCCAAACTGATACGAACAACAACTCAATGCAACAATGCTAGCTTTAAAGCTCTTAAGCCAACATTAAATGTAGCATAAAAACACATGACAACGTCGGCAATGAAAGCAATACACAAACATCTATGGCTATATCTATGGTTATATGGCAACGGCTCTATGGCTACAATTTACCATTTAGCAACAATCATTGATGGGTTCACTGCACAGGACAACAACAACAACAACAACAACAGCATCAGCAGTAGCAGCGGCAGCAACAGCAGCCGAGGGGGACGAACAGCGTGAGAATTGTTGCAGATTTTCTCACACGCAATTCGCCTTTGGGTGGGAGTGTCGATTGACAATGTGCACTTAATAGCGGATTACATGCATTATCCCATCGCTGAAAATGCGACTAAAATGTATTGACAATCAAATGATGATACCAAACTCAGACGTCAGACGTCAGTCGTCGGACGCCAGACCCACAGACCTTAGACCTTAGACGACGTCAAATGCGAAATTTCTGGGCACACGAACAGAAGATTTGTTCGTATTGAAGCGAGTAGCAAAGTTAGTTTACGGCTTGGGTTAGCAGTTAGCTGGGTAGTGGTTAAGACACGCCCTTTAGCTTACGCCCACTGAACTTGCCTGGCCAAAATAACGCTCTCTAGGTGACAACAATAGCACAACGGGCAAAAGCACAACAAACCAAAAAAAAAATAAATAAAAGCAAAAATAGATAAAAAGTTCGAAAAGCCAAAGATTAGATACCCTTACACTAGAAACTATATGAACAAAACATTTAATATAAATGTTTTTAAAAGCCCCTTTTGAGCGCATGTTTGGGCACATATTAGTACTATTATTATTATATATATATATTTAAATATATTATAAAATATTATAATATATATTAATTATAATTATATAGGAATATATTTTTAGGCTTATAATTTGTAACAAAAAAAACCTTACATATATTTAGGACCTGAAGCACAATGAGTTTGACCTATAAATCTTGTTTTTTCCCAGACCTAGACTGAAAACTTACAAAATTGTACAAAAAGATTTACTGGCAATAATATCTTTATGATTTATTTATCTTTCAAGATTCATTCTGCATCATAGTATTAATCAAAATTTAGAACAATTAATCAAATTATCCCAACATAAAATTTATATACGTTTATTTTTTTTACTTTAATATTTTTAAATGTGAAAAGTTTTTTATTCGTTACATTTTACAAAACTTTTTTGAAGATATAAGGGATATATTCATATATATAATTTATACAGCATTCATATAGATATATATATATATATATATATATATAAAGAAAGTATAAATATCTAAAGAATTATTAATATTGATTATTGATTTCTTTAATAAGTTTTATATTTCCACACGTATCTTTTCTATTTTTATAAAAATTGTATGAAAAAAATGATACAAATTTTGATTTTAACAGTGACTATATCTTTTCATAAAACTTGTTTAAGTCTATCAAAAGTGAAAACAAATTTTGTATATACTTTGCTTAGCCCTCAAATTGACTTTAATCAGAAACAATTCTTGCCTTTTTCGTAATCTCAAATCTCATTTCATTTGTAAATAGCAACAAAAAGAAAACTGAACAATTTAAACTTACATAGATCTGTCAAGACATATTTTAACAAGCTATATAAAATATTGTTTATTTTATAGTCTCAACGTTTATTTAATTTGTAGACGAAAAGGACAAGAATATTCGGACTGATAGACATAACTAAAGCGACTCAGTTTGTCATAAGCCTTCTGCTGTCTGTTACACTTACACAAATATAAATAAATAATAATAATACATATTAAATATAAAGAAAAAAACAACAACAAACTAAAAAACTTTCTTTGATAAATTGAAATTTAATCAAGTAACACTATATTTTTAAAAATATCGAAATCATATGTAAAACAACTGCCACGCCTTGTCACATACCGTCTGACAAAGTATATTAAACGCTTTTCACTTAGAGCATCAAAATTTTATATACCCGAACATGTGTTTGGACTTTTTCCTTGTGCATTTTCTTAGTTTGCCGCTGGAAAGCCTCATGTTAGCTGCCTTTTTGGGGTTTTTCTTGGCTGGTTGCCGTACATAAACAATAAACATACACAGCCATACACACTCACACACCCACACATACACCCACCCACAGTCACACACTGACAGTAACAGCGTAGCCCTTCGCATAGACAAAGTGCTTTTGTTGTTTAGAGCAAAAAGCAAAAAAGCCACAAAAATCGTTCAAGGCACGTTTGTGTTACAACATAAGAGTAGTTCTCTCTATATATACAATACCCATGCCTCTGTCCCTCATTTTTTGAGCTTGTTCTTCTTCTTCTTCTGTTCTATGGAATTTATGGGGCTGGCCATGTGGTTAGCCATTTTCAGTTGGTTTCCATTTTGTTTGCGTTCTGTGCGATGTTGTTTTAGTCTGATTTCTCGATGTTGTCCATAAAGTTAATTAGAAAAGCTGCCAGTGTTGCAAAATAGTGTTGCACAGCGCTAGATAAAAACAAAAACGTTTTATTAATACAAATCTCTCTCTCCCTCTGAGGCAAATAAGTTATGATGGGAAAATATGACAAACAGCGCACATTTTCATTTTACTTTATCTGCATCCCCTCTCTTGCTCCATCTCTATCACTGCGTCTGTCTTATAAATGTTGGCCGCTTTGTATGGTAATATTCGAAGGAAAAAAAGGCGACACGGCGAGAGCTTCCCTTAACAAATTATGTTGCCACTTGTCACATTTAATGGTATTTGCATTTGTATACCAACAAATGGGTGTCAGGCATCATCATCACGCATAGTGATGATGCTTGCGCTCGCTCTCTCCTTCTCCCTCTCTCTCTCTTGCTCTCGCATCTCATCTTCTTAGATTCTTATTTCTTTACAAATATTTACGCGGCATTTTAAGCGGATTTTTCATTTTGAGTGATTTGTGTCGCTTTTCCAAATCCCATTCGCATCAAGCGAAAAAAAACGCTAGCAATAAAATGTCCTTTTGCGGGTCGTCCACTTTACTGAGTGGGTGTGCGGCAGGGTGAGGGTGCCTAGGAAGGCGTGTGCGTGTGCATATTGAGGTCTTCATATTTGCTGGCTGCGTGATGAGCC